GTTCATCAGTAACAATTCTTCACTCGGAAATGTTTCAAGAAACATCACAGCAATTCTTAAACCAATATTTCTTTGCATTCCAGACTTTCACATCAGCCTGTATCTATAAGTATTTAAGTTTCTACTTTTGTGCCCAAAGGCACATTCTTTTCATCCAAAAATTCCAGCATTTACAGAGCTTAATTTTAAAGGAACTGTAATTTTTGTGTCAATAGTTTTTAACAATCAACAATTTTGCTCAACAATCTACATCTAGCATTTTAGTTGATCAATAAGAAATTAAGCAGGAGATGATACATGAGCAAGTCGTACCTTATTAGTCATAAGAAATTTGCAAGGGCATCCTCAAGACAAATAGGTGTGAGCTCTTGTGATGTACTGGCTGGCATCCATGGTTCGGAGAATCTTCTCAAAGAAGAAGAAAAAAACTGCATTAAAAAAATAAATAAGTAAACTGAAAAATACACATGAAAGAGTCATAATAATGTGCAATGAGAAAAACTGTAAGTAAAGCAAATACGTTATGATTTTGAATATTCCAAGTCAATCAAACTTAACTTTGAAAAATGAACTGACCATAAAAGAATATTTACTTGCTGACTTGTGCAAAGCTTTTAAAAGGGGAACGAAACTAAGCCATACATGACAAAGATGCATTCTTTGCAGTGACTCTTGATGAAAAAAAATTATTCTCTGAGGAAATTTTTTGAAAATTTAAAACATTTTAGAAGAGTTTTCGGAATCCAAACCACAGATAATCCAACAGCAGCTCATTGAGATTCTATGTGATAAAACAAATGGAAGACAATAATTTTGACCGTGGTATTCCTGTTATGAAATAATTCTTGGTGGTTCTGTATAACTGAGGATTATTAACCAACAAATCAACTGAATTTGTAGGAAGGAGCAGTCATTTATTTGTTCAAATTTTGCTTCATAATTTGGTGGACACTCAAGTGTGAAAATTCCCTGAAGTTTTATGTGAATCATTTTAACACTCGTACATTTTTTGGAGGCAGGTCTCCCCTATGGGATGATCATTTAGAGGAAATGAAACCTTAGTGTCTCAGTTGGTGTTGCTTTTTACATCATGCTAATGGACCCCAAGGCAGGGTAAGAATTTGACCTCTAATATAGATATTTCCTTGTCAAAATTTAATGTAGAGCATTTTGAACATATCAATACCTTCCAAAATTAATTCATAGGTGAGAAATGAAAGTTTTTAGTTTCCATTTTAAGCAGTAAATCAGGGTACCCACAGTTAGGTTATACCGGGAAATGTCAGAAAATTTTAATAGGTCAGAGAAAACTTTGAACTGTCAGGAAATTTTACCAAAATGTGACAGAGAGATCAGGGTAATGCCAGAGAATTTCATTTTATAATTTCTGTGGCAAGCCTGGTAAATTCAAATTTCCCACTTTCGAGAAATCATTATCAGTGTAGGTCCAATCGGTCATTGAGAACAACCCACATGTTAAGTTCCTTTTCGATGCCTTGTCTTGCACACCAATTCCCTCCTCCTCTGACACAAGGTATCTATTCATGTCAAAAAAAAAGTTAGCTTTCCAGAAAATTTCCATCATTAAAAGAGGATTTGAATGCAAAAAACTTACGTCCCAGTTTCAAAATTCCTTTGGCGTTTTTAAGTTTTATAGGATAAAAAAAAATGCTTTTAGAGGTGGAAATTTAAATGAATTCTCTCCATAATTAAACAATATTTTCAGCACAAAACATCCAAGTATGCAAATACACGGGGATTAGTTCTGTTTTAGAGTAGACTTGGGTTTTTTGTGAGCAGGAAGTGTGAATTGGTAGGTATATTCCAAAAAACGCTTATTTCTCGCTTACCTATGAATTAAGTTTGAAAAGTTTCCATGCACCTATCATATTCTACATCAAATTTTGCTGAGGAACATATATTGTGCTTTTCTATGTCATATCCTGTCTTGTAGTTCATTAAAATTCATCTTTTTTCATTCTGTGAGCAACATTTCCATTTTTTTCAGTAGTTGTTTTTTCAATGTATAAATCAGAGGGCAATTGTATGTTCAATCCTTACTTAACTTCCTCGTTTAGTGAAGAGTTTCCCTGAGCCAGCTTTGAACCTGAAATCAGGGAATTTTTTCATTCCAACATCTTAACATTACCCAATTCTGACCTCTGCCGTACCTATCATCAGTTATGTCTGTTATTAGTTATGCAATTGTCAAATCTTTGTTTTGTTCGTTCGCATAGGCAGTTCGTTTTAATTTCATTTCCTTGTCCAATCCTTCCCTCCGCTTTTTGTGTGAGCGTTTTTATCCTGCTCCTTTGAAATGTATGTACACCAAGAAACATTGGCTCGTTGAGTAGAATGTTCATTATCGAATCTTGTATTCGACTAAATTATCATTAAAAAACTTAGTTTTGAAACAGTTATGGATAGAAAAATATGCAACTAAGACTGTATTTTACCATTGTACTAACAAATATAAAAAACAATAGTGAAATAAACATAAAGCTAACATTATCTCCTCTCAAAAAATAAATCTTACTTTTATCAGCTCATTTGCCACTGTATATTTGTGAATGACAGTTTATGTGAACTCTCAATTAATCAGGAGTTCAATGCGCAAAAATTAGTGACAGAATCGATCTCCAAGGGCAGTTTGCATTTTACAGAATGGTTTTTGCGTGTTTGTTTAGTGTTTATCAGTAACAATAATTACTCGTAAGACTCAGATGAGTTTTTTTTCCGTTTTTTTTTATATTAAGGTTTTAACCTGTAGAGCCTCTCACCAGTAAAAAATGTTTCATTGTGGATCCAGACTATTGGATTCAAATTGAAGAATTCAGTGTAAGCAATAATATTTCCAATTGACTTGTCAAGTAGAAGAAAGGAGCATGAAACTTGGAGCATTTCTTTAATGTTACACCATTAGAGCTCATCTGAGTTTTACTCATGTGTCTTATTTCTGTTTTTCTCTTTTTTCTTTTTTTCCAGTTTTGACGAATCTTCTCTTAGTTTTCACAAAGTGCTACGATTTCTATTTATTTTTCTCTACTTTCTAACAAGCCAGGGTTTCTTCATTGGTGTGCTGTCCAAATTTCAACCTTAAGCCCTTTAAATCATTTTCAGTTTTTTTTTAATATCATTACTTTATTTTTTTATTTTTAAAAGAAATTCTCTACCCCCTGGTTTTGTCTCTATATTTTGATTTTACCAAACTCCTCACAATTTTTTACGTTCTTTTCGAATCTCTGATTTTGTCCACTGTAGAAGCACAGTAATGATCAGGTGAATAATTTAACACCCAATGAAAGAAGGCCTGGACCTTTATTGTTACTAAATAATGCTGCTCTCAATACTCAGCAAATTCAGTTCATTTATAGAGGATGTTTGTAAGTTGTTGAAGAGATAAAATACTTCGGGAATTACATAAAATCTTTTTCATGATATTGGGGATCGTTGTGAAATGAACCATTAATGCACATTAAAATTTATATTTGATTCATTAGGTCATTTCCCATGTAGTCTATAAAATTTCAAAAAGTAATATTACGTTTCTCACTGGAATTCATGAATCAGAATCTAGAATTAAGCAATCATCATAAAAATTTGTTTTTTAAAAGAGCTAATTTTCAAGGTAGTGTCTTTGCTCCCACAAAATAATTAAATAATTTTTTCTCTCGTGAAATGAAATATGAAATGAATTTTCAGCCTGGTTAAACATATTTTGTAATGAAAAATTCTCTCAAGTTTTTTCTTCTTTTTTTATGTTCTGTTCATCAATTCGCGTTTAAAGTAAAAATCTTTCCCTACAAGACGGATTGAAAATTTACAATTTTCTGCGTCAAGACCTTTTGGACGTTGGATTTTAATCATCAAATCTTCCTCAAATTGCTTTGCTCTTCCATTCTCAATCCTTTGAAGTAACCCTGCCTGATTTTGAAGTCGTCACAAGTCCCTCTTACTGGTTAAAATTTATCAGCAACCTTGTAATTTCTAACTTTTATCCATCCAAAGTAGCAAATGTTGCATTAAATGTAGATTTAACTGTGAAAATGTCACAACTTTTGTTTTTACCAAATTATGAAATCTCAAGAGTTACAAAACTTTATAAATGGCAATACTTTTGCAGTATACTTATGTAAATGTTTGCAATAAAATTGTGACTTTTCTTTAGAGAGTTTAGTCGAAAAATTTGTTGCGGTTTTAATGCGAGACATTTCATTCTGATGTAATACCCAATTTATGGTCGAGGTTAATGAAGGTTGACTTTTAAAAATTTCGTAACCAAATCAGAATGACTTTAATTTTATCGCCTTTCATATGCTAAAAGACCCAGCCACCAACTGTCATTTTATGACATTGTGATTTGCGATTTTTATATGCTTACTGGGTTCTAGAAGTCAGAAATTGAAATATTCCTAAGTGTAAAGGAATTTGTGAAGCTTTACTACCCTCTCCTTGACAGTGAAGATAATTTTTGATGAACAATTAAGACACCAAAAGTACTATTTAAAATTTTAAATTGTGGATGCAAAGAAATTTGCTGCTCTGAAGGACCATTGTTGACCCTTCTTTTAATTTAACTTTTAGAAAATATTTCCTTGCTGTGAAGAAAAACATTTTTTCCCCTGGAAAAGTTTGACAGACTCTTCTCTTACGAAAATTGAAACTTGATTGCACTGTTGTTAGGCCTCTAATGTCTGGTCATTACATCTGCACTTATCGAAGTTATTTCTTTTGTTTTTACATCTCAGTCTCAGTTTTTCTTTTCTTGCCTTGTCTGTCCATCCTCCCGATCCTCTGTTTTCAACCTTTCTTCCTCAGTCCATTGTTTTCATGTAATACTTACTTTAAACAATTTTCAGATGGTTATCTGTGTTCTGATGCTCTCTCACTGATTTAAGTTTGTTTTTCATTAATTCATGTTCTCGTTTCATTATGAAGTAAATGAACAAAATTGAAAAAGTCCAAACCTAAGAAATGATTTTGAATGACTAAATTTGTAGGCCATTTTTGCGAGTTGTATTCCTGAGATTATTGACCTAATCGGGACTAGACCCAAATACGGCGGAACCCTGAAGAATGAACGTGGCCGAAGGTATGAAATACAGTTTTTTACTCTATCTCTATCTGTCTATCTTTCTGTCTCTGTCATATACCAGCCTAAAGTCACACATCTAACATATTAGCCTCTTCATCTCCATCTCATCAGGATTTCAAGCACAGACACTTACAGACCCTTTCTTTCTACAAGTACATACTTTAGTATGAATCAATCATGTTAGATTTTAGTTAAACTTTTTCAAGTTTTCTTGAAGGCTCTCTTTAGGAAGCATCTCTTGAAAATAATCAGACGCTGTCTCTGAGGTCTCTCAAAATTTTACCACCAGCTCTAAAACGAACTAGACAAGTATGATCCTAGAAATGTATTATGTATTTTTCGCATTTCATCGATTGGCTCTTTTATCTCGCCCCTTTTGATATAAAACACATTTGTATGCCTTTAATCTTCTAGTGGGACCATTGAAAAATTTGTATTTTGTGACCATCAGTAATTGGTGTCCAGTTTCTTTTATTCAATTAATCGTATTTGTAATCGTTCAGCCGAAAACATTTTTTTTTTTTTCATCCAATATTGCTTAGGCTTTTTTTAGGTATAATATCAAGCTTTAAATATAATTTTTAAGCTTTTTTTTTTACATTTTTTGAATGCAGTGTTGCATTCTCACCTTCTTGGATCATTTTATAATGATAGCACAGAATTAGGTGATTTCAGCATAAGATTTTTTTCACAAAGTAGGTAGGTGTTACCGCACGATTCATGAGCATACGAAGTGCCTTCTTTTCCTAGATCATGTCTTCAGAAGTTTTCTTGCTCCCAGCAGTATGAGTTGCAGATAATGCAATCAATCCTACAGGCGGATAGCTTGAAAATTAATTAAAAGTGAGCAACAAAGTCTCTGTTTTATACAACACAGTTAAAATAAATTTTGAATCATCAAGATGTCGCTGCATTGGTTTTTTTAAAAGACTTGAATACATACTTACTTATCTTTTTAGTCGCTTGGAAAATGATTAAAAATGTAATATTGAAACATCTGGTCATTCATATCTAAGGTTGTTGAGTATCAGGTTATGTAATGAGTCCGCTTGTTGACTGTTCTCATAAAAGAAGGTATGAGAACATGGGACAAAGAAAGGTGTCCCTAACAATCTGATTTCAGGCATTTTTGGTCTTAGCTGACATTACAGGTTTTCAGGCATATCAGTGAAATACTTTGAAAGAAAAATATTTGTTAGAACTTTTTTCCAATGTATAAATTATCCAACATTTAAAATTTGTAGGGAAGAGGCAATTGTTTAAAGTGATGTTATTAAGTGAAGACCTCTTTTGGCTTTTGTTTGCCGTTTTTCCTCTGAAAATCAATATTCTTTTCTGTTTGAGTCTTTGGAAACGCAAACTTGATTGTTAATGATGCACTGTTTCGTTTTTCCCTGGTGACTAAAATTTTCTCAGTTTTGTGTATTTTTCCTTCAATTCTTTATATGCCTCGGGCAAACAGGAGTTTTTTCCAAGTCCATGTTCGAATGTACACTCTTATTTTTACTAATTATTTAACACTAGATATTTCTTTCTCTGTCATCGAGAATTGTGTGTATTGATGTTTCAGTTCTTCTGTTTTGGTTCTTACCTAGTTAATATTTATCCAACTACCCGTTTCGTTTCATGCATTTTTGAAATAGGTACATAGCATGATTTCTGCAAACTTCCTTTAAGCTTCAATATACATTTTAGTTCAATATTTCATTTTTTGCAGTTTTATTCTGTCGGCTAGTGTTGACCTAACCTGTAGATGATGTAACACTTGTGCTTGTAGGTAGTATTTTCCACCTTAGTACTAACTTATTGCTACCTTCAGTAACATATAACCATTACTGTTCTTATTTAACATTTTATGGGTTTTTTTCTTTTCGTAAGAAATGAAATTTAGATTGAATGCAATTTTATTTTTATTTTCAGAAGCATTTTTGTATTAAAAATCAAGCGTAGTTCAATTTATGCCAGTTTTTGGATTTACTTGAACTATTTTCAAAAAATCAGGTCGAATAATCAGTTAAACATGCATTAGTAATCTTTTTCTAATTTAAGAATCAAAGTTCCTAAAATATAAGGTAATAAGAGCACATAATGTTATTGTTTACCAACATCAATCGAAAAATAGTGCTTTTATCCATCATTCCTTACTTTTACTCACTTCGACCGTAAAATTGGATAATATCATCGCGAGACTGATGCTCATTGACACACCTGATTCTCTGAAAATGATCAAAATAAGCCTGGAAAATAGTCGTAAATCAAGATGAATTTAATATGTATAAAAATGCTTGGATTTTTCGTCAGGTATCAGAAATGCGAGAAAGTACTATAAACTCATCTTGTGAAGTAGGCTGTCTGTAATGAGAATCAGTACCTACTCATTTTTTCTCTTGTTCGGGTATCAGTTTCGTAATTAGATACGTACATTTAGTTTGTACTCATCATTTAAACATAATAACCCCTAAAGTAAAGGTTAAGAAGATAATCAATATCCCTGGTTTTTTAAGCAAACCTATTCTTGGCTGTTGAACTGGCTTCTCTGAACCATTTGTAATTATTCTCTGCATTCCAGTGTTGGCTGGATTCAGATTTTTAAATCATAGCCTACTAGACTTGTGCTATAATTTACAGAAACTTCATAACACAAAATGGATAGTTTGAAAGGACCAGTGTGTCTGTTTCACACAACAATGATGTAACTGGGAAAACTTGAAACCTACTTCTATCGTAGAAGTCACCAATTTCTGATAATTTTTTATGCTTTTAAGGAAAGCCAATTAGGAGCTGTCCATAAAATATGCAACACTTCATGGGTGAAGAAGGTGTTAAGAAAATCGCTATGCTATTTTGTATTTACGAGTACAAGGGTGGGGACCCACGCCACCATAGCATTAAAGCATCACAATGGGGGAGGGGGGGGGAGGGTTGTTGAAAAATCCAAAATTTAGCATTACACACTCTATGAATGGTTTCATGTTTCTCTTCCAAAGTTGATGTGACAGTACATTGAACATTTCATGTATATCTTCGAAATAAATGGAAGATGAGTTAAACCTCTTTAACTTATTAACAAAAAGTGTGTCTCTCCAAATTTTTGATTAACAAGTTTGCCCAGAGACGAATTGTGTTTTTTTCTTTTTGTTTCCTTCAGTCCTTTCTCAGACTGAGGAGAGCCTTATATAATGATTTTTATCGGGCAATGCAAGACCCATTTTCGTTAGGTGGTAAAGGAAAGTAAAGAAATAAAAAAATGCAGACAAAAATTATTTTACCAGGCCACAAAGACCCCAATTTACTGAAGAATTTCGTTTTTGGATCATCAAAAAACTTCAAGTCTATTAAAATATAATTAAATTTGTCCAAATGCCAAGTTTCTACATCCAATGTTTACAAAGTATTTAAAAAAAGTTGGTGCATAACATGACCATTCAAATAACAACTTATTGGAAATTATGGTGGTTGACTTGGCGCTATTATGATAAATGGAAGCATCCTCATGTATCTGTAAGTTGCTGTAAATATCGGATGTTGGAATGTAGCATTTGGGCAACCTTATTATATTTTATCATTTCCGTGTTAAATCCAACCATAAAAACACGAAACTATGACTTGTGCATTTGTCAGTTTTGGCATCTTGTGAGCTTAGTTTATTTTGAGATGTTTGGCCAGTAAAAAAAGAATGTGCTGAGCTTCAATTTGTTTTCAACAATGTCATTAGTACCAAAGTTTGATCCTCCAATCTTTCAATTTCTGATTTTTTTATTTCCTTTTTGATCTTCCGAAGTGTTTTGATTTTACTTACTTAGTTTGGTTTTCATCTATTGGATTCAATTAAATTTCGCATCCTGTTTTTCTCACAGTCGTGTTGTTTAAGACTCATCATGAATCAAATTTTTGATTTCAATAACGATTGAATATACTTTTTCCTTTATTTGGAATCTGTCAAAATTTGAAACAATTTTTCAAGATTTGTCATTAAACTGAGAACTGCCCAAACCACATATGGGCAACCTGCTGACTGCTGCGGGTTAACAGAAGTTCCCCAGATAATTGCTCAGTAATGGAAGGAGCTCTGAGGTCTTGTAAGTCTTTTTTAATGATGTTCTACAGCCAAGATGAGAGAGGTATCGACCATTTATCAACATGTATTCTCAGGAAAATGTTTTTTCCAGCATGATAACACTAAAATCATCTGCGCTCTTCCCAAAAAATTATTTACCAATCATATTGAACTTTAGCAAGTCATAGGACAGATTTGTTTTTTATGTTTCAAATTTTAGACAGGATAATGTGTTTTAGTGCGTAGATATATCAAAAGACATTCTCCAGTGTAAATAGAATATAATTTTGCTTGTATTTTACATAGTTTAAGAATGTATGGTCTTTTTTAATGAACAGCTATAATTAAAAGAGGGAAATAAGTAGTTTTCAAGACTCTATTTCGGTTTTATGTGGGAGTACACAATCTTAAAAGCTTCATTTTCAAAGAGTTCTAATAAATTTTTATTCTCTTTCTAATATCCATTTGTATTACATCAATAGTTAATGGATAGGAAACAACTTTAGCCGGAATTATTGTTTACAGGGAAGAAAACAAAGTTATGACACAAGACAAGTTAAGACATTTTATGGCTGCTGACAATTTAATTGACAATGGAAGCCCTAAGTTCAAAAATTTATCAGCATTATTATATTGATAAAGTGGGAGCAACAAAAAATGTGGCAGTTGGGTACTGCAACTTAAGTCATGTGGCCAATATGACAGATATCTCAAGATAGATTTTTTCTAAGCTCTAGTGCCTCAACGGAGTTGAACCAAAAAATGCAGCGATAATTTGTACCCTTCATAATCTCTCAGTCCTATTGTTAAGTCATTTGTGAGGCCCTGAATTGAATACTATAAAGTAAATTTTATTGATACTAGTAATTTTAATTGCTTGAGAATAACATTTTAAACGGAGTTATGTGAAAATGGCCAAAGCTTTACTTTAGAGACTTGTGTGTGACATTGATTTGTCATTAAATTCTTCTGTATTTTTCCTTCCATGAACATCTCAAGACATTCTGGTAGGTAAATTATAACTTAAAAATAGTAAGACAAGTTTCTTTCTCTGTCCTTGAAATACGTAGTCGTTTTCTTGGAAAAGGTAGACATGTAGAAATATTTCTAGCAGAATAGAACATCAAAGTTGTAGCTTGAATACTCACTGTTAAACAGAAACATGTATCTTAATAGTGCTACATAGTTTCATACTATTCTGAGGAAAAAACATGGTGAATAAGACCTGAAATCCAAATCAAAGTCTCAAAATGAAATGGTGACATCAATACCTTGCACTTTGATACCCTTACAACAGCGTTTTTTTTTAAAGTTCCTCCCTTAGTAGCATTGACCGTTTCCAGACTTGAAAATAACATTAAAAAAGTAAAAAAAAAAAAAAAAATGAATATAATGCACGATTTTAGTAAAAAAATGTTGTAAATTTTATGTGGAATTTCCATTAAACGAATTTTGTAGGAAAAACTTAGTAATTTTGTTGAATTCTCAAAATCACTCAAACCTATTGATGCTGAATATCAAATAAGCTGCAAATTATTCAGCTGGAGCTAAGAGCTGGGAAAAGCATTAAATTAGACTACTCTTTGCAATAAGGCAGTTCAAATTTTGGCTTATTTTAGAAACAACATATGTGCCATTAGTTCCCCTATGCAGATGGGTGTTTTTATGTAGTAGTGAGAAATTGTAGTTCCTTATTGCAAAATGCAGTCAAATTGTATGGACCACAGGGCTCATTGCAGAGTGCAGTTACACCCTTATGTTAGGAAGGCGACGATTTTTATGTAAAAAAAAAAAAATACAAAAAGGATTTCCTGACATTTCAAAAAAAAATTTTCTAGAGTCTCCTCTTTGAAATTTACGAGTTTTTAAACTTTATTTCCACAGCCATTGTTACCAGGGATAATTTCAATCTTTGAACTTCTTAGCTATGTTTTCTCCTCAGAATAGTGTGGACTTGGCATTGTTCCAATATCCTGTTCAGAAATATTTCCTCTCTTTGAAATTCAGCCTAAACCCATCAACATCATGGGCGAGTTTCGGTAATGTTTCCAATCAAGTTGTTTAAAAAAATGCCAGTTTTTCATCTGGACTCTTGAACATTTCAAGATCTTTTTTCGGCAGAAGTCATGTTCTTTGCCCTAGAAACAATTAAATCCTTACTTTTCTTAAGTAAATAAAAAGAAGCTGCCGGCACTAAGTTTTAATGAGCAGGTTATCTGAAATTTTTCTTTTTTGTTGCAGGCACATTGTAGTTTGCGGACACATAACGTACGAATCTGTTTCGCATTTTCTGAAAGACTTCTTGCACGAGGACCGAGAAGATGTGGACGTAGAAGTTGTCTTTTTACACAGGTATAGCTCCGTTATTTTCTCACAGATTTAATATACTACCATGTTACTCCAGAGAACATAAAATATGTTATGGAATGAACTACAAAACCAGGAATATCCCGTACAAACTTCTTTTAAAGCTGAAGTGCACTTCCTGCTCTATTTTGTACAACGATAGGATACTATGAGATGGATTCAAGATTTTTCAGAGCTATATACACTTCAGTTTATATTCATTGTGAAGAGCAAGGTTTTAGTTTATTGGAGGTCTATAATCGATGGTCAACTTAACATCCAGCCTAACCACATCAGATAATGTCCAATAGCCTCTCATTGTGTATTTAACAGTAAAGTACCGTGTGAGGAAATAAACCATGAGAGGAAATTTGGCAACATGAAATGCAGTCAGGCTGCTGTTCATGCCTAAGTCTGTTCAATTAATTTTACCTTGAATTATATATTTCAGTGCTTTCTCATTAAATCAATTAAAGATATTGTTCTATTCTTCATTAATTGCTTAATGAGTAAATTTTGAAAGAATTCAAATATCTGTGGTGGAACTTAAAACCTCTGTACCTCATCTTGTGTTGTTGAAAACCTTCTTTTCACTTTTCAGTTTGAATGAAAGAAAATTAAGTGAATTTAGTCAGTGAAATTTTGCATGATCTCTCTTTGCTCTAATTAAAATATGCAATAAAACTTTAATGGAAAAATTTCGATTTTAACCTATGACACAAAAAGTGGGGGCTAAAGGGCAAAGTTAGTGATCAGCTTGGGGTATTGTTCAGTTGGTTAGGGTTGTAATACAGGTACATTGGCACATTGAAATGACCCTGGCTCGCCAAAATCCATCAACCCTTTAGCAATAAATCAAGCTGCTCACCTGACTATGCCCCTCAGCCTTTTCGTGATTCAGATTATAGTTTGCTTTCAAGTAAATGAAATAAGCGACGACTTTTTGAATACTGCAATATATGCACAGAGTCTATTAGTTTTACTGTCAATGTATTTTTTTCCTTAAAACATACAGCAGATATTTTAAACTGAAAAGCTCTAGTGTCTGTCCTGTTTGCCATGCAGGAACTTGGCACTTAATATTTAGTGTGCATTTTAACCTTTTTTATGTTGTTACCAAGTAAAAAAGTGTCTTTATGACAGAGAATTTTAATACGTTAACTCTTGTCATTACTGAGCTCTATCAGCTTAGTACAAGACATTAGGTAATTTCATGATCACCTCATAACATCTGATGTGTAATTTTAGAACCATCTATCTCCATTGGTTAAGGAGAACTCTTCACCTGGCATTATGTGCCAAGAATATTTCATGTGTTGAATGCAATCGTGAGAGCTAACATTTATGATTTGAGGCCACCTATGGGTACTCCTCTGTCATTATTATTACGTTTTTTTTCGTTAGAAAGGTGTCTTTGTTTTTTGAGTTGAGACCAATATGGCCATGGTATGAGTATTGAAACCTAGAGGCTGAATCAGTCAACCTTCAATCACTGCGATGAGCATCAGTGATTCAAAATCTTCCACAGTCAGGTTTTTAGACCCCTTTTTGCACTCCCTTATTCTCCTTATCTCTCCCAAGTAGTTTTTTTTGGCAGGATTAACATGAATGTATTATCCATTTCTCAAAAGTTCCTTAGTTTCAGTTTCACCAAAATCAGTTCAGTCAATATCTGATTGTTCTCTCAATAGTCTCAATAGTATCATCAAGAGAGGGAAAGTACAACTGAAATTTATCAATAGCCTGAAAAACGTTTCCTCAAGTTAAAAACATTTATGTTGTATGATATATAAGTCACTTAGAACTCATTTCAGGTTTTCAATTTGATTCTCGCCAAACGAAAATGAAGTAACACTGTCCTTCTTCCTAATTGTGCCAATAGTCCTCGTGCAAAAAATGTCTAGAAAATAATTTAAAGGGGGGGGGGATAACATTACACATATTTGATTAAATTAGATCTTTTAAGCATTCAGGAAGTGTAAACAATTTAAATAAGATGAAGGCTCAAAATGGAAATTTCTCATGAAACTTTCCGTGATAGTATTTTTTAGCACCATAAGGCAATACCAATAATTTAGAGTTAAAATCACAAGAGCTCTTCAATACCATGGGCAAGCACCTCAGGGTCATCAATTCTTCAAAATGTTTTTCAAAATTTATCCAAAAGTAGTTACTGACGTATTGGATAGAAATCCAACAGAATAGGAAATTTGCTCAAAACCCATTTTGTTGTTTTTAAAGGAACTATCATAACAAATACTTTGTATTTCTTGTCTTTCATCTTGCTAGCATTAAAGCCATCCCAAATGGACAAGGTTGCATCTGTAATTTTTTTTTTTTTTTTGTCTAATTTTAAAAATTCTCACTCAATTAAGAAATATTAAAGTTTGAAGTTGCTCATTTAAATCAAGCCCCCCTCCCCCCCCCCCCCCGTTTGTTTGTTTTATCATGATAAGAATGGTCTTCACTCCATATTTTTTCACTAAATTTACCCAATTCTCTGTTAAGTCCCATCGAAAAATCTCACTTTTTCTATGTTCATTTTTTCGTTTGAGAGAAATCATTGCTATTTTAAAATTTCCTCTCAGTCCATATTGATTTGCCCCCTATTCAGTTCTGGCCCGTTGATCGTAAGATCAGGCATTTGCTTCTATCTTCAAGTAACCGCTCAGGTGCAGAAGGAAGGTCGATAGGCAACTATTATGAAAGCTTGTGTCTAAAAGAGAAAACCTTTAAAATCAGAACTTTCCATGGAAATTTTTCCATAGACAAGTAGTGACAGAGCAGAAGATGATTCAATCCTATGGTGGGCGTCACCATTCCCGAAACCTTGTTCAGTCATGTTCCCCTTGCATATGCGTTTCAGAAAGGAGCCTGATTTGGAACTCGAAGGCCTTTTGAAACGTCACTACACTACAGTCGAGTTTTTTCAGGGCACAATGATGAATGCCGTAGATCTAGAGAGAGTTAAGGTAACTGTCACCTCTTTCACACATCGCTCGGTCATCCCTCTTGCTCATAGTATTATACCCTCTGTTACTGCATCTCTACAGTCTTCATTCAGCTGGCTAGAAATTTGTAAATTGTAAAATTTATCTTTTCCCCTCTCCTCTCCCTTCTTTTGAATTAGGGTAATTTTGCTCTAGCCATGAAATTCTTAAGTCTCAATCAATTACTTGATAGAGTAAGTTAAAACCTCAAAAAGGGGAACAAAAAAAAAATTGAAAAAGTGAGCCATGAATGGAAGTGCAAAATCTGTACATCAAGGTGTAAAAACTTGCCTCCAATTTCCAATTTTTTGACAAAGGTACCTTTCGGCAAAAGCTCCTTTTGGATAAACATAGTTTTCTTAAAAAATTATAATGTAAACTTATCATCATTGATAAAAATATTTTCACGTAAATCTGAAACTAAATTCTTCTTAGTTTTACCATTTCTGTGTACATGAGGTGTGAAGTTTCCTGAACATGCTTAATTGAACCTAGGTTTACTGAACTTAACAAAGAGTAAGGAACATTGGAAATCTTCACTTTAACTTTTCGTCTCCTCTCAATTCCCTTGTTCTTATGTTCACCCCTCCTTTCCTCATACCTTAAAAATGTCTAGCTCATTTAGCTTATTTCAAGGCCTCCCTCTCTCGCTCTGTTGTACACTTTGGCAAAGTTATCCTGACTGGTAGTAGTTTCTCCACCACTCAAAATTTTGGCTGAAATTTTAATTTTTTATTTTTTTACAATACAGCTCTCTTCGTTTCCCTTGTTGTGTTACCTGAAGGATCCAAATTCTCTTGAATGGCTTCCTTGTGTTATTGTCGACCAGTAATGCATTCTAACCATGAGAACTTGACAATATTTCAGCCACTATATCATAATCTTGGCCTTAAAAGTAGACCAATTTCATTTGCGTTTTCCCTCATTTTACTGTCATGGCTCATTCAAAAAGAAACTTTTAAATGTAATGTGTCCTCTTCAAGGCATTTTTAAATCAAATACTGATCAAACATTTTTTGAAATACCATTGCAATCTGGCCACCCAGTGCTCTTAGTAGAAGCACAAGAAAATGTAAAAAAAAAAAAATAATAATAAGAAAATGCAATGATTAAGGATGCAGGATTGTCCTTCAGTTAATGTAACATCCCCTTGTTAATCCCTGGCTCTCACTAGAAGTATTATTCGCATTTTTAGATTAGAATCCTAGACTGAGTCGGAGACATTCTTGCCTGCTCATCTCGCAATCATCTTTAAGTTCTCTCTTGCCATTTTGAAACAGCACTTTTTTGTATAAACTCTCTTATCTCAAGTTATTTTTCATTTCCTCTAGGTTGTATCATGGCTGTGCAATTTTTTAATTATTATTTGAACCGTGTCGTTTTATTTTCTTTTCTTTTTATTTTTCTTTATCATATTTGTTTGGTTGTGCTTCTTAAATTAAATGTCTTTAGGAAACCGCCTGATTTGGAACTTGAGGGCCTTTTCAAGAGACACTTTACAACTGTAGAATTCTTCCAAGGATCAATTATGAATCCAATTGATCTTCAAAGGGTCAAGGTACGTTGACTAGTTCTCACAATTTCCCCAAAATCCCCAAGCGACTGCTTCCATTGTGACCTATGTGTAATCAAGAATACAACGTGTCCGTTAAGTGTTGCTTTCTAGTCAACATCATCCTTTCTCTCTCTTGTATGCTTTCAATACCTAACCGACTTGAAAAACTGCAAATCTCTTTCCTTGAATTGAGTCAGAATAGAAATGTTATTTTTCCAAGTTGAAACACTCTTGCAAATTCTCTTTGAAAATTATAGTATTTCCGCAGCATTTGTGAGATATCTTTATGACGAAACCGTTCTCTAAATAGTCCCAATATCATTTTTTAACACTTTAATCTTAATCCATAATTAGTATGACGATTTAATGTCAAAGAATCATGCTGTGAATTGCACCAAGTACTGCCTACAGGGGCTGTCCATAAATTACTTAAACGCTAAGTTTACCATTACTCGACACTCACCAATGTCTGCAACACTGAATTAAACATTGCTCTACAGATGATGTAGGTAATGCTACCTTTGACTGAAGCCAAATAAATATTTGAGCAGGTCAAGGCTGCTCTACAGAATGAAAAAAAGAGCAGTGCCTTTGAAAAATTAAAAGTAAAAAATTAAAATTTGTGCCAAATGACGGTCTTCTGACTACTTTTCCAACTTAAATTGCGTTTTGTATTTTCTGTATGGTTATAGAGTTAAACCAGACAAAGTTAATGGCAGACAGACAATAATATTAAGAATTTCAAGTAATAGGTCAATACTCCGTGTCACGTACAAGTCGGACCTCTGATACCAAAAATATTATGCTAACCTCATGTCGTTGCTGTAAATTTGAGTTGTCTATTCAAAGTAGCTTTTTATGGACACAATGTAATCATTGTTCATGTGTGTGCGTGTGCATATTGTATTTGAAAACTGTCGTATTTCTTCATTTTTTCTGTCTTTTCATTTTCAATAGAGAGGGAATCCAGTGAGAAAAAAAGGAGGGTAATGAAGATCAGCATTTCAAAACCTGGGAGATTGAGGAAATAAAATGTGATAGCGGAGAATTGAGGATGCAGAGCAGTTACTAAAGACAGGGATCACTCATTTGAGACCTGTAACTTTCTACAGCAGTGTGCAGATAATAAGTTATGCTACATTTCTGTATAGGAACCGTGCAACTTTTTCACTAAAACTCCTTAAGTTCTCATTTCATAAGATGAGTAATCCTGAGTCCCATCGAATTTGTCCTTGATGTAAAGAAACACAAATTTCAATACAAATTAATCATTTTTGTTGAGATTAGATGAGCAAGGTTTTTCAAGGACTTTCAGGCAATTTTTCTTTTGTCGAGGTGATTCTTACACAGTTTGGGCCATTACTTAGTGGGTTTTTTTTTTTTTTTTTTTTTTTTCCCTCTGATTATTTTAAGTGATCCAGGAAGGAGAGTTCCTATTATACATTTCGCTACCGCCCAGTCTGTTTTTGGGAAGCAATAACTATTGTAATTTACAAAAAACTAATGAAAGGAATTTATCCCTAAAGTATAGCAGAATTAGAATTAAGTTGTATGACATCAACTTTGTGAATATTCATTGATGATATACATGTACCGAAAATTATAAAAACGGGTGTCGCTCATTGACTCAATGTGTGAAAGCGATAGGTCATGGTATCTATGCTGGGCCATAGGGGGTTTAGAGTACTCAATGCAAGTGCGTTTGTCCATTCAAATGTGATTTTCTCAAAAACGAAAACGTGGAGGAAAAAATTGCCCATGACCATTTTCTTACTTTTCATTTTGCACTAGTGCCCTGAAAATAACATTTTTATGGGTCATTTTTTGCACAAAAGACCTATTGCATGATACCTCTAAATTATTTTTACGATTATTCCCATAGATCAGGGAAAGAATTAGGCCCATAGTAGCACCAATAAATGTTGATCATTTTGAAGTCTTAACCTCTTGTTCCTAGCGTGAATCTAATTCATATTTAATGTTCAATTAAAACCTAATTTAAGTGAGCTGTTTAGTTCATGATCGGTAAAATATGTGTGCCCTAGTTTACCAAGTAAGTGTGAATTTATTACTTTACACTGCCTTATTGTCTATGTGGTATTGCCTTCTCACTGCTAACCTTTTGCTTGTCTCGCTGAATCATTTATTTCATCTTATATTTTTCTTTTCCTTCTTTTCTATCAAACCCATTAATATTGCATATTTGTCTTGTTCAGTAGATATTTAGTCGATTAATCTATTTCATGTTAGCTTGTTTTAACTTCTCAAATGTGTTGGCATAAAAGTTTTAAGATTTCATGATGTACAATTTAGTGGACTTCTGTACTTTTGAGTCACATGTCCTCCAAGGAGCTCAGTGAAATTTGCAACTTGATCCATTGATCCAACTTAAAATCTCACTTGAAAGGCTTTTATGTTCCTCAACCTATCCAAAATCACTTTTGAATTCATAAAAATAGCCCTCAAAGTTAAAACCCTGATGGCTATTGACTGTTACCTCATGAGAGGGTCTTGTCGCAAATAGATATGTAGATGTAAGGCTGAATGTACGAGAAGGGTTGCTTTGGCTATGAGCTAAAAATTGCCTACTTGATTCATGGAGTTTTAAATTTAGGTGGTAAGTTGATAACTCTGCTTATTTATTCAGCCCTATCTCTGCAATTCTGCATAGAGAATGGAGCTCTTGTGTCCCTCAAGCGGAAAGGGATTTGCACCTCATGCACTTAATCCTGTGTAAAATTTCACAAGAAACTGCCACTGGTTTTCTTTAAAAGCAAATAAAGCTCTCAACGCTGTAGTGTAATACTGTAATGGTAAAATTGCCTACTTTACGAGAGGAGTCTACCTTTATATCCAGTCAAACTCCATATGCACAGATAGGGAGCAAATACATCAGCAAGGTTGCTTCTTTTTGTGTGGACTCTCAAACTGCTTTAGCCACGGCCCCTGCTAATGTAGGTATTCGCTCCCTGCCTGTGCATGGCAAGCTGACTCGATACAGCAGTGGACTCCCATCATATAGCAGAGGCAATTCCCTACATCACAGCCTCAACTTTAAGAGCTTTCTTTGAGTTTACCATCACCAATACCCGTGGCTTGCAGGAGCTCCATTTCACCGATAACTCTACCATAATGTTATGCATAAACTATAATGGTCCCAACCCGTAAAGTTTATGATGGGTTTTGGACCAGATCAAAGTGACCGTTCTGCGTCTCTCTAAAGTTTTACACTGTTGGTCAAAATGTAAATATCTTGTATGAGTTTTTCAGTGTAAAGAAAACAAAACTTACTGATCGCTTTTTATCAAAGATTTGCGTGAACATTTGCATCAGTGTATTTGATTCACTATTAGCAGATGCTTATTTTTTGAGGCTAAGAACTGCATTTTCTCTGTTTTCATTAAAGAACAATCAAAACATGATTTATGAAAGGAAAGACGACACTTCATCATAAAATTATTCTAAAATCTCCTCTCCACCAACCCTTAAAAAGATGTGTGTTATCATGAAACATTCTATTTTGCAAAAAACAATTGTAATTGTGCAGAGAATTCTCTCTCAAAAAGCTCAATCATCAGACAGTACAGTACACAAATTTGAATGTACACTCGAAAATTTTAAGCACTTGTGCCTTAAATTTTCTGTATGGTTTTTTCAAGGTTCACGAAGCTGATGCTTGTTTAGTTCTGGCGAACAAATATTGCCAAGATCCAGATGCAGAAGATGCAGCGAATATAATGAGGGTCATATCAATCAAGAACTATTCAGACGATATTCGAGTCATCATTCAATTGATGCAGTATCACAATAAAGTGAGTTTCATGCAGTGACTTTTGCTCTGAAAGCTCCAATTTAATACTATAATACAGTGTTTTGCGGTCTGGTTTCATGAGGCTGGCTTTTCTGTACCAGAAATCCATTAATTATTACCATTATCTCTTTGAATAGCAATGAATATCACTAATCCTAGTTTCACACAAGTCTTTCTGTGTTGGGAACTTTAGAAAAGACCTATTAATGCTAAGTTGAAGTTCAGATCTAGCAGGAAAAATTCACAACATAGCAGAAACTCAAGATGCTCAAACAGCAGCATTTTATCTGATCATTCTACAGTCCTACTTTTCAGGCTTAGTATACCCTAAAGGAGATTCTGAGATTAAGATAATTAAACTCAGTCAATCATTTAGATTTTATGAGAGGTCATTGAACACTCCTCACAGATAGACTGAACTGAGAGTCCTCTGTGCTGTTGATCCTTTCCATGTCCATATATGCATAGTTTTTGGATGATTAAAAGTTCTCATTTTAAATTGGCATGTCTACAGGCATATCTATTAAACATTCCTTCCTGGGACTGGAAACAAGGTGACGATGTGATTTGCCTGGCTGAACTCAAGCTTGGATTTATTGCTCAAAGTTGTCTTGCGCCAGGGTTTTCCACCATGATGGCCAATCTTTTTGCTATGCGATCTTTCAAAACGGTAAGGGTTCTCATATTTCCCAAAATATCAGTATTCATGCACATTATTGAAGGAGTTAGTAATTTTTTTTGGAAATTTGATCAAGAAGTTTTTAAAAACGCAAGGATAGTCACTCACTGTCAAGATTCTTGCAATTAAATAAAACAAGACACTTTGCGGAGCCAAAATGTTTGTGTCTCAATTTTATATTTTTGACAGTGAGTGTATTCCGAAAGATAGGTCCATAGTGAAACCTTTAAGTATGTGAATGAAGGAGGCATTTCTACCCATTTGTAAGGTTCTAATTTGTGTTTTGAGTTAGAATCTCGAAATTTTGCTCATTCCTCTCACAGGTTGTTTATAAAATTCCAATAAACTTTTCAAAGTATATTCTACATTTAATCTACTTTTTGGACTAATAGTCATAAGTATGGAAAAATAAGAACAGTTTCATCTCATAGAGCTTAAATTTTGTTTTCTCCTAAGAACAAAATGATTTTGTCTTTGCTATACAATCTGTAACGGGTTTAAAATGAAATGTTTGAAGTTTATTTTCCTTAATAGAGCAAAGAACAATTCTAGTTTTCTCAAATTGGTCTGCTCTTAATCTAGAGCTTTTAAGAATTTCTGATCATATTTCATAGGAAAAAATACATATACTTGGCAATGAGGAAGTAAAAAAAATTGGAAGAAAAATTAATGGGTCAAAAGTAAGGCTCAACTATGAGCGAGTTAAAATTAGGCACAAGTGAAATCTTGTTTTGCTAGAAAGATACTTGAAGCGCTCGATTGGAGGGTCACATATGGTCAGAGCACGTGTTATAAATCTAAAAGTGGTGTATTTTTTAGAACGTGCGCTGTGATCAGTCCCTTGAAATGCAATCATGGCAAAATGATTACCTGCGCGGGACTGGGATGGAAATGTACACTGAAACACTCAGCACTTCGTTCATCGGGATACCGTTCGCGCAAGCTGCTGAGTAAGTTAGTGACTTCGCAGCCTACCATATGGTGTATAATATGGAGACATTCTAGGTGTTATCTTCTTGCACTGGTTTCTGAGTTTCGTATTGCGTTCTTTCCTCTTTGTTCTATATTTCCATGTACTGTCGTGGATGGGCAATTTGTGTACGTCTATGGTTCCTTACATCAATTTTGAAGTGTGAAACTTTAAAGGGAAATTCTGCTATGTGTGGGTTTTCAAAGGAATCTCATCTTTGAAAGAGCACTTACGCTCTTTTAGAGGTAGACGTGAGTCCCTGTTTTGAATTCCCCCCATTCTGAGTCTATTTTCAGTCGGGCAAAGATCTATGAAAAATTTCAGTTGACTAACTTAGCAGCTACTTTATTGAATACGTTAATGTCTTCAAACCAAAAAAAAGTTACCTTAACCTTTCACTCTTTTGAAAGTTTTTGCTTCTTAAAACCTGGAGAAGTTGAATAAAACTTGTTGAATGTAAGATTAAGGTTATCCTTGTTTTGGTTGGAAACATGGATCTATTATTAGTAATCATTGCCATTGCATTTTTTGTCGAGCCATTATGAGAATCATCCTTCACCCTAGGAAAGTGGTTTTTTTTTGGTCATGCTATTTGCTTGCATTCATAAGATTTTAGATTTAATCCTTTCCCCTTGATTCCTGAATCTGCAAATGAAAATGCAGGTTTTTGGTTTGAAAGTGAGTCTTCAATTATTTTGAGCCAACCCTAATTGTATATATTGCTATATTTCAAGAATTTAATGGTTTACTCCAAATGGATTTTTTTTTTTCAATCATAATGGTTGTTTTTGGGTTTTAGTCACTTATTTAGCATTTTTTTTACCAGTATATGCAAAGCAAGTATGAAACATTTCGCCAATTATAATCCTGTTTTCCCTCTAGATTTTGCTTTGCTTTTAGAACAATTTCTAAGTCCCTTATTTTGGCTCCTAAATGATTAAGCTAGTTCACACGTTTGAATTTGTATTTCCAACTCCACTTACCTTTTGAGACGACCATGTGCTCTCAACTCCAATTTTAGACCCGTAACAATTTTAAATATTAAGTGTGAAGCAAGCACGAAGCAAATATTTAAAATAATTTTTATCACTGAGTATAAATGAAAATAGTTCAATACTGCAACTATTAGCCAATGATGCGGAAAAAGTGGCTGGTTCAAAATGAATACCATTTATCTTTGTATCTTAGGTTTTGCTGTTTAAATTTCTCATGATTATCTTTTCTGAGGTGTTTTGAGATTTCATGCGGCATGACTTGTGTAATTAATACATAAGAAGAATTCTCAGTGACATGAAATTCTCTCAATATTTTCAGAGGAAACCAATCCTTTAAGCTGCTAAGTGCCATTATGATGAAATCACAATGCGGTTGAGTTTGTGCACTAACTTTCATGCCATCTGTACTTAATTGTCACAAAAGACAATGAAGTCATTAGCTAAGGAAAACAACCTTTTTCTCTCTAAAAAAAGATTCTTGGAAGGTTTCATGCATAAGTTGAATGGCTGCCTCCTCTATAGTGTTAAACAATTTTTGCAAGAATTTTTTCACAGATTTTGGTCTGAAATTGTTCCTATTGTCATCATTGATTCTCCTCTAAAAGAAAACCGAAAATTGAATCAATCAATGAAAATGGTACCTTTTATTAATTTAGGCTGAGATTTCTACCATTGCCAGTCCCTCAAAAATTACCCTAAATCCATCATAGTGAATTGCCGTTCCATTTCGAGTTGGGTGCAGTTTTCTTTATCTTAATCTTAGCAGAAACCAGAACCTAAGAGTGCACATTCAGCAGAGCTGATGAAAAACAATTCTAATGGTAAAAGAAATAAACAGAATTAGCCATATTAGTTGTAGTTACTCTCATTAGCTCTCCAAGAAGAGGAATAATATCTTAAAACTTCTTCACAAAGTAATAATCAGGGGTTTGATCTTTAAATGCTTCATAAATAACAAAACTGATAGAAACAAAAATGCTTTGATGACAATACCCTTGCGATAATTTTATCAGTACAGAAGCATGCGGGTGAGTGGTGCCCCATCTTCAGTGTTTTCCGCGATTGATCTTTGACTTTTGCTGCTGAGTCTTTGGGACCTAAGTTCAATTCATAATTGAAAACAGCTTCATCAACCTTTCAAAATTGATGAGAATAGAATGTCACAAATCATTCTGTAAGCCCTCTGAAGGTTAATCCCACTAGGGATCTAGCGTCAAAAAATTTTTATAAGAAAGTCTGCATGGTCCGGACAAAGATGCCTTTGAAAATCCAAATCAGAATGCACGGAGCACTGCCAAGCTATGTTGTGTCGTATCATACTTTCTGCCTCTTCATAAAAACTGTCAGACATTTCTTCTCTTTCCTGTCAGCGCTCTCTTTTGTTTTCTTAAGCAAACTTCTCTTCAAACTTTTTTCTTGATAGACCAGAACCTCAGCTCTGTGACCAGCATACATTCAATTATGTGCAGTCATGATCAGGCAAATTACAATGTACAAGAAAACTGGATTCCCTCATTCTTTTTTTTTTCCTTTTCAAAACCTCCTCTTTAATTTCTTGCCCCTATGAATGACTCCCATCCACGAATAATATAGTGCCACGGTGAAGGAAAGATTTTAGACCATCACACCCATATTACACTCTATTACAGAGTTTTACAAAAGTGTTTTGCACCGGGCAAGAGGAATGAGAGGATAAACCAAAGTATTATTTTTTGTCTATAGATCACGATAGGTCTTCTAACAGAGTCCGGTATATATTTTCCCGTTTTGATCTTATATAGTGAAGAAAATTTCAATTTACAACACATTTGCAGGTCTCTAAAACTTGAAACCAAAAGGATCAGTCAATATATGTATTTTGGAGTTTTTGCTGGTTTATTTGATCTTATTTAAGGAGAGCAAAATTTCAAAAATTCCCAGAATACCCTCAATACATGACCAAAAAGTGTTTAAATTCATAGAAATAGGCAAATTTATCAAGAGTATTCTTAAATTACTCTTGAGACAGCAAAATAACATTTTTGTTGTGACATTCTTGTAAGTGGAGGAGGGAGAACCTCTCTCCCAAAATATCAGGGATCTCGCTATTCATCAAGTTCTTATTGCAGTCAGAGAAACGCAGTATTTGAAGTATTTTTTTCCCCTCCTCTTCTTTATTTCAAAGTGCCAAGTTTTGATTTTTGATTCTGATTCAGCTCCACAAAACGCACCTGCCAATTCCTCTCCCTCCCCTTTTTGAATTTTGATTTTTCCTCTGTGTTTCGATGCAATGGTGTTGAGTGAGTGTATTGCGTATTTCAGTCACCAGATACGCAAGCATGGCAGAACGATTACCTTCAAGGAACCGGTTGCGAGATGTACACTGAAACGCTATCCCCCTCCTTCACTGGGATGACATTCCCGCAGGCGAGCGAGTAAGTTCCCTGCCCCTTAAACTCTACTAACATCCGAGTTATATAGAGACCTTAGATTTCATTAGATTGGTGCCAATCGGACTAGTTATTTTTGCATGAATGTACTATTTTATTAACTATCAACAGAGGTTCCTTTGAGTAACAATATCCTTTCCTTTAGGAATAATAATTTACATATTTTCTGTAAAAATTGTTTCTCTGAAGCTTTTTTTCCCCTCTCAGTTTTTTGTCAGAATTGCATCCTCATTTGTCATCAGTTTTTAAATTCATGTGTCCTCATTTTTTGTTTGAATAGCTCTAAGAATTCTAGAAGTGCTCCAGCACTTAAGTTTTTCAATAAGGCACCCCAGAACTTTTCAAAGCAAGATAGAGTCTCTGTTTCTCATGTTTTGTAACTCAGCAGTGTCAAGATTTCCTCATGTAAATAGGATAAATTTAGCCTCTAGTCGTCCCATCTTATCCAATTTTTTAGGTCTGAAATGTTTTTACAAAAATTAATTTTTGAAATAATTTTGCTCCAACTGATCTTAGTAGTTGACAAATTTGTAGCTTATATTTTGCCAATTTTAAATGAAGAAATTGTTCTCATTCCTCTCCAATCATTTAGTTTTGGTCAGAAATTTTCAATCTTGCGGTCCTCTTTGTCTTACTTCTTTATTTCCAAATCACAACCTTCGACCTCTTTTCTCTCTCCCCCATTGTGCATGGATAGCTATAGTTCGACGATTTTATTTTATTTAAAGAAAACTTTTCGCTTTGTCACTTCATTTCTCACTTGCCTTGATTGTTAATTTTCCAATCTATGGTGGAACTAAAGAGCGTGTATCTCAAGTATAGTTTTTCATGACTCCCTCTCTCACTTTATTTTTCCTCCGGAAACTAACTAATATTTCATTTATTCCTTGCTGAAGAGCGTAAGAACATTGCTCTATTTCTAACCTCTGTTGAATTTCATTCAGCAATTGGCAAGTAAGGGCATGGGCTCAATAGCTAATGCTGTCACATTAATACTCAGCCCCAGCTTCGAGAAAACCCTGTTGCACCAAAATTGGAGCAACGCAAAGATTATATTATTTGCATAGTTACTGATTTGTGGAGAATTTTTATTTGTGCATGTTGGATTGATCTTGAGAGCTAAGTCATTTGATGGTCTCCATACACCTCACACATAAAGATGTATTTTACGCTTTATTTGTCCCTCTCCTTATCTTTTGGTAACAACTCCTTCGTATTCAACATTTTATTGCATGAATATCCCGAATATTTTTCTACATAATTTTACAGTTCTTGCAATTTTATCGTAAAATTTTGTTTCATAACCTGATGAACAAAGAGGTTTCCACATCCTTACAACATTTCCAGATTTTTTTTGTTTCGTAGGTTTCTTTACTCACTTTGTTTATGTAGCTTTCTCTAAATTTTCTGGTTCTATACATCGACAACTATGTTGGTTTCATTGAAAATGCAATGATTATGAAAGAATAGCTGATGGTGCAGGAGTTTAATGAAAGAGAAAACTAAGCATATCTGTGTAACAGGGTGTCTACAGGTCTAGAACACCGGGGATCGAGAGGGAATTTTATCAGGCCTGGGGAATCAGGGAAAATGATCCTCTGTGACTAATCAGTGACTACTTAAGTTTAGGTAGGAATTTGTACCATAATCTGGTAAGAGCCGTCAGGTAAGCGGGTAGTTTTGAAATAAAAGTGCATTATCAATGATTTTTAAGTAGCTATTGTACGTATCTTTTTTTGGCCGTTTCACCAATGAGAATGTAAGCGCATGTGTGTAATAAAGCTACGTTGGTATTTTCTCTTTGTAACTTGCTCTACCTCCTTACAGCTCTTTAACTTCAAGCGTAACCAAAAGCTTATATACCATAATCGTGAAGTCTTTGTATTTTTAGTGGTATTTTTGGTCCCCCAAAAATTTGCAGGTAGATTTGATGAATCAAATGATTTGGCAGACACCTAAAATATAGGTAATGCAGTTGCTATTTTAAGGTAAATCTAGGTAAAACGATCACTTTGTCACTCTAATTTTTTGATCCCTCTTTTGAAACTTTGAGTTCATTTGGAATATAGGTACTTCTTTAGCTATTTTATCACCAATGTAGAATTGTTCAAAGCAAAATAGCATCCAGAGAGCAGTTTTTTTAAAGCCACTTAAATAGCTAAAAAAAGTTGGAATGTATTTTTTTTCAAAATTTCATTCTGTGCAGTCATTAACCAATCATCGTTGTTTGCTTTATTGAAAACCGTTGCATAAAAAGTAGCACAAAGTTCGAGAATAACATATATATCTCACAGTTTCCAATTCTTATAAATATCTTGATGTAGGTATTCTGTTTCCTTAAAAAGCCTTAATCTTGGTTAATAATTAAAATAAATAAATTTTCTCCCTTACGAAAGTAACTGAAGCATCCATCAGAATATGATGAAAAATATTTTTTCACTCAACATTGATCTGACCTATTCTCATCTTTCAGACTTTGTTTCACAAAACTGAAGTTACTGCTTCTTGCGATCGAAATAAAAAGTGAAGATGGACGGGACAGCAAGATCTCTATCAATCCACGGGGCGCAAAAATCACAGCCAACACACAGGGTTTTTTTATTGCTCAATCAGCGGATGAAGTCAAAAGGTGAGGGTACTGTCTGCTATACATTTAAGGAGGATACCCGTCATTAAAATGGAGATTTTATTCTTAAAGTTTTCTGACCGAAGTGCATTTACCTGTTTATTGCAGGCAATGAATGCTAAGCCATTTAAATTCTTTGTTCTGCGTCGTGCCCTTTTGAGGCTGCTCTTAAAATATGTAATACTGAAAATCAGATTTTTATCCTCTCCCTCCTCCCAAACTTTTGTAACGCACCCTTTATTTCTTAAAAGTCGAAAGTACATGATTTGTGACTTAAAATGACTTATTTGATCCATTACCGCACAGAAGTTTAGAGTAATGATTTTTTATAAAAGAAAAATAGTGTTTCATTTTCAATGAAATCGGAAATCAATCTGCTTATTTCTAGAAATATTCATCAATCACGATTCTTTTACAGGGCCTGGTTCTACTGTAAAGCCTGTCATGAGGACATTCGTGACGAAACTCTCATCAAGAAATGCAAATGCAAAAATTGTAAGTATGCTCTTTTCTCTGCTATTGACTCATTTTCTTCTCTTTCAGTTCATGTAAAGATTCTTTCAGTTTCAGACTCATGTACTCTGAGCCGTGACGCCTGATTTTATCAAGCTTTTCAGGTAACTGTGTTATTGTTGGAAGTGTACAGATTTCTTGGCAGTGGTTTTTGTACTGAGCTATTTTTCAAGTATCCTCTACTTAAGTTTTGTTTTACTCTCCAAGTCTGTTGAAAAAATCTCATCGGTTTAGTTTTCTGCATCAATCCCTTTAATCCGGATTGTGTGATGAAAGTCTTAATGGTGAGTTTTTTCTGCATGTGGGAATCGTTTCATTAGCTTCTTTCCACTCTCCTAGCTATTTTCAGCCTGAGTTTGACTCGTATTTTATTTATTTAAAGATTAGTAATTTTTTAATCTTACCTCAATTTCTCAGACGCAAGTTTATCCTAGGAATTTCACCAATCGGCAATTTCTGTAGATGTAGGTCTCTTCACATTGACTCTTAAAACTTAAAAAAAATTATGCAAACTGTAAATTTCAAGAGCAGGTACATTTCTACAACATTTTTAAAAGAATAAAAAAGAAGAACTAAACAAGGCTGAATTGTACGCGATTTTGTTTTATTTTTCTCAGTAATATTTTTTTTTGCAAATATTTGCATCAAATTCAGTAAATTTTGAATTGAAGAAGATTACCTAATCAAGAAGACAAGAAATTGAAATTATTTTTATTTGAATGGTACTATAAACAAAAAAGATTTACTAGCCTCTTTTACCATATTTTCTGGTTCTTAATGGACTCACGATTTTAAATAAAGTATTTTATAATGTGATCATGGGTATGGAGGTTTCCTAACTGGTACATTTTTACAGTTTTTCAGGTGATGAATATTCTTTTTTTGAAATTAATGGTTTTTTGTGCAATTATTTTATGATTAGTTTTGCAATTTTTTTACCACCGCTGCTGCTAGAAAGTGGTCAAAAACCATACGGTCTCCCAATAACTCAATTAAATGTCTGGAAGTAGTGCGTATTCATAAAATTAGGGGCTGTCACATGTTAGGGCATATCAGTATTGCAGTATCTCAAAATTTTTGGAATGGGCCCTTAGACAAGGTATGAAATGAAGGAACTTGCAGCATGTTTACTTTTCAAAATTTCATGAGGCAAACAAGTCACACAACAGAATGTCTAGAAATAAACTTCCAAACAAGATCCAAGTGTTTATAATTAACATTAGTCAAAATGCGAAATTACAAATAATGTCATTTGTACTATCCAACTATCGTTTGATCTGTTTCAATAATACAGGATGTATGTAATGTTTTAATCTTGTTCAGAAGTTCATTTCCAAACTCCCTGTTATGTGAATAATTTTCCACGTAAGATTTTGAAAGGAAAACTTGTGACTTTTTTCTAGTCCAGATGTTAATTTGTGACCCTTAGTTTCATTGTGTCACAAATGAGTCATTCATTCTTTCAGCTTCTCTGAAACAGCTTTATTTAAGTCATGCTAGAGCTTTCCAGTTTCTTGAATTTCTCTAATTTTCCTGTGTATTAAGGAGAAAACTTGAAGTTCTCAAAACAATAGGATAACAATGCTTCACCTTTGAAATCACAATGCTCATATGCTCCCACATGCAACAGCGATAAACAGAAAAAATTGTGTATATAAATTTAGGAATTAAAGGTTTAGATTGAGACAAAACTTGCCTACAACTTTTTACCACGTATTTAGTGTTCTAAAATATTAAGCTTTCTCCACACTTCATTTTCTGATGAAGTAGCTCTGCCAAAATGTTTTCATCAACTTTTTCTTTTTCCTCATCACTCAAATGGCGTTATAGTGAAGTCATCTCTCGTCCGTAGGCTGGTTTAAGAATAGCATTCTCAATGATAAAGTAGTTGTAATTCCCCCCCCCTCCCCCTCCATATAAGCTTCTGTCCGTTCTGCTGTTTTGTTTCGATACTTCAATTGAATTATTGCATTCAATGAACCGAATTGGTCGTTATTTTTTTTTTTTATTTATTTTTTTTTTTCAAGTGTTCATTGTGTCTGGTGAAATTTTTAATTGAGATGGTTTCCTGCTGAAGAGTGTAGGTCCATTGCTGTGTTTAATAATTGCTTACAGAATTTAAATCAGTTACCTGTGATACAGGGTTCTCATAGACCTGGTAAATTTAGTCATTTTGTACATTGTCACAAAAATTTAAGACATGTTTGGCCTTTCCTTAAATCCGTCCTTCCATCACATAATTAAAATGTCCCATCAACTTGAGAAGAAGCAATGGACTCATTGATGGCGTAACTGAGAAACGTTTTTTGGTCATGATTTTTCAAAATTTTTGCTCCTGCTCTATCTTTTTTTAAGTGAAAATCTCTGAATATTTTTGAATTGAAGTCAAATCTCTAAAACATAAAAAGTATTCAGTGAAAATTTTCGATGCTAGGTAAAAAAATCTAGATTTTACAGCCGTTACAGTGCTGCAAACCGAGATTTAATTTATTTTCCGTGTTGGATCAGTTTCATGTCCTTCTGCTTGAAATTGATTGATCAAAAGTCACATAATCGGAAAACATGTTTTTTTTTTTGTGGAAATTATTCCGCAGTCTACCATAAATAATTATCACCCTAGTATATCACAATCAAAAGTCTCATATAAAGATATCTTATTTGCAAGGGTTCTTTGACATATTACATTGATCAATACTCATAGAGGTTAAAATGTTAGACACTCCTATTACAAAACTGCTTTTTTGTAAGTGCTAAAATACTCAGTTGAATCAAATTATTTGAAAGTTCGATTTTGATTCAAAACTATTCGACGATACCATACCAACGAATAACGTTTCATCTGAAGGTACCGTACCGACGAATAACGTTTTATCTGATGGTACCGTATCAACGAATAACGTTTTATCTGATGGTACCGTACCGCTGAATAACGCCATCCATTTATTTTAGTGGCACTTGTTGGTCATATGATAGTATGCATCATGATATCACAGTATTTTTTCATTGATAGTTTAAGACTCTTATTCAAAGATCTTTTGCAGAACTGAAATTTTGTCAAATAGAGAGTATTTTACAACATAATATGCTTCTTTTGTTTTTTGAAAATATTTTGATTGCACAATGCTTGCCGTTATTTGTCCTCCTACGGTAATGTGTGGCATTTTTTCCAGATGTTGGAATGATGATGATGCAGTCAGGAATGGTGAAAGGTACTGACAAGAATTCTCATTGTGTAGAGGGTAGGGCCCCTGTTTGGTGTTCTAACATTATTAACTCGTCCAAGACACTCGTAAATTGAATTGCGTTGCTGCTTTCTTTTAATTTGATCTATTTTCAAGTTTAATTTTCCTCCTCTTTTTTGCGCATTTTTACCTTAACCGTCTTGAACCGCGCAGGCTGAGTTGCCTTTACGTGCTAACTTACTTTTTTCTCTAGGCAGAATCAGTTTCCGCTTTTAATTAGTGCCAGGCTCGATTCAAGGGACATGGTTCTATTGGTATCTGGAACTTAGAATGCGGTATTAGCAAGAAGCGTAATTCTATCGTTCTTTTGCTAACCAGGTTATAAATTGAATTTTTTTTCTTTTCATTCATTTAATGGTACTTCTGCATTACAGGGTGGCATTTTTTGAAATTGTTTTTAGTATTTTTTCATTCCTCAAACAATATGGTTCTTATTGAAATTACAAGGAAACGAGAAGGAAAATGACAAAATAGTGACCAAATAGACAAATATAAATAGTTGAAACTTTAAAACCTCTTATTCTTACCAAAGAATTCAAACCGATTCTGAGAATTCTCTCTTTCCATTATTAGCTTTTTGCTCGGACTGAGATCAATGTACCCATTTTTAGACCATTAAAAAATACTGAAGTCCTAATCTTGAAATATTTGTGATTTTTGCAGTAAGTTTTGAACAGCTGAGCTAAAATATTTTTTGCTCATCCGTTGGTCAGAAACATTTTCTCTAAATGCCACCTACGCATTGGAATTTTAAGTACAAAGCAATATCATTGGCTGCTTGAGCATACGTATTAGCAATTTGTGCTTCCATAGTTCCCCACTAAGCTTCATTGTCATCTGTCTCCTCGTAAGTTGGTTGAATATCTTTGCAAAGGTTCACCTGTCCTTTCACTGCACTGGACGCATTTTCACTCTCCAGTTTTGTACGCAAGATTAAAAACCGGGAGTTTTTCCTTTCTTATTTCCAACCTCGCAAGCATTTCACAACTTTTGTCCGGCAACTTTTCTATTTGCTTCTTTCGTTTGAATTTTCTTCACCTCTGCTCCCGACATATTTTCAAGATTATGTCTTTATTGATGCAATCCTGGGCTTTTAGGGACTCGAAAAATGTCGGGAATTAGGGAACACTTTGATGATAAAAGGTACAGTGTCACTATGTGAATCATATTGTGATACAGTTCCTACAAGTGTAAGAGAAAGTTTTGCAAGAAATGTGACAGTTGCATGGTCCCACTTATAATCAACTTCCAAGCTCATAAACATTTCTCAAAATCGAGACTGTAATAATGCTGAAAGGCGTGATTGCAGGAGAGTTGAAACTCAAAACTCCATGGAATTCTCATTTCGAGTGAAATCGTGAAGCATGGTGTCCTCCTACCTCGCTTTCATGTCCATGAAGATGTTAAGGTTTTAAGTGACTCAGGTCATGATTTTGGCTGGAAGTTAGGATAAAATCAAGAGTTTTGTCTTAGAATAAGATATTTAGTCTTGGTTTAGATCTGAGAAGAAACTGCATCAACAGTTTCATAACAAAACTGCAAGGCAAGGAGTTGCTAAGGATTGCTTTATTAGTTGGTGTAGGAGGCTATGGCAAACAACTCTGTCTAAAATTCTTTGATATCTCTGCTATTGACTTTTTTTAATACCATTTCAAAGTAATTTCCTTTCTTTTAGTGAAAATTGGTAAGTGGACAAGTAAATGATCCTTACATTGAATTTAAGCAGCAAGGACAGACCTCAGTATTTTTTGTTTTGTTTTGCTAAAATGCTGTCAGCTTCTTTTTGATATTTACGATTATCAGAGTAATTTTGATTGCTTGCGTAGCATTAGCTGCTTACAAAAAATTGGAAACATCTACTCAATATTTTTTCTCAGTATAAATGAAACTTTTTATCATGAACGTTTTGTCCACAGCAAGATTTAATTCAGTTTCTCTTTCTTCCTTGCGATCATCATTATGTGAAAAGTTCTTTAAGAAAATTAGGAAATGAGATGAGAAAATTGAATTTCAATTGTTTTTTCTCAGAGATTTTAGGGCACTATTTTTTAAAGAAAATTAAAAGATGTGTTTTAGCAGATATGGAAGTTAATCTGTGTGCAATGCACTCTCCGTAAATTTATAATAATTCTTATTTTTCCCTTCCTTCCCTCATTCCTCATGTCTGCTCATATCCTTATTTTGGTTAGTTTTTCCATCACAAGGCAATCCAGAAATTCTTATTTTATATCTGATTTGTTTTCTACTGATCATATAAAATTTTTCAAAAGAGTATTTTCGTATTTTCTAACACACCAATGAAATTCTGGGAAATCATATGTGGTAATAGCATTTTACCATTCAACGAATACCCTGCCTCAAATGATGGTAAACGTTCTGGATGGATCGTTTAACATCTAATGATTTTTATTAATATCGTGTTGATTAATCTTATTTGCCCTTGCAGGTAACCAAGAAATTTTTGCACCGTTTGACCCTGTACTTACAATTAAATAGTCCTCTATATGCCTCTCTTTGCACAATTTTCATTCCGTTTCACATTACCTTAGTCTCATATCACCGAGTTTCAGCTGAGCTTTGAATCTATACTTTTGCTATGATGGTTTGATGAAGCTTCATGTAACGAACTTAGTAATGAATGCCTTGAATTTATTTACCTTTTCAATCACTTTGCTCAGAAGATATGCATTCAGATATCTGTAAAAAGGAGTAGATTCAAGGAATGATAACTCTGTTTCTCTAAATTAGAGTCCAAGGATTTCAATTGGAGAAAACTGCATAGTAATGCTATTGCCATTACTTGTTATTGTATCGTATTGTAATGTGATGAAACCCCCTTTTTTTTAATATGAATGGCCAGATCAAATAATTTTTCATATCAGTGTCCCAAATATTTAATTCCTCAACACCGTGAGCCTTTCAAAAAAGGGATTCAAAAGCAAGAGGAGTTTGGCACAGTTTTTTCATCTTTCAACTCATTCTGTCAATGCCATGTAACATTTCAAACATTTTTACTGTTGATCGTTAGAAAAAAAAAACAGAACTAGAAAAAAATATTCGTACAAGAATGATCTCTGAATTGTTTGGTAGGTATTGCTGCTGAGAATAATTAGAAGAAAGCATCCTAAATGGAAGAAGGTATTCAAAGCCCTTGTTCAAGCTTTGGTCGTGTCTAAAATCAAATAAAAATGCAATTTTATTTCAATGGAAAAAATTCGAGAATCGAGGTCTTTCTTGTCTTTTATTCAATTTTCCATGAAATGATTAGCATGGTAAGGAGCCTAAAGTTAGTCAAAAATAAGTCTTTGAATAGAAGACGTGAAAAAATTAATGAAGAAACAAAGGCTGCAATAGACGTGGGAGACTCTCTATTAGAATCAATAATAAAACTGTATCCATTTTTTTTTTTTTTTTTTTTTTTTTTTTTTTTTTTTTAAATATAAGCCTTAAGTGTTTCTCCCTTCAATCCACTCCTTTTTGAGTAATCGTATTCTTATGTAGGGTCTCATTACGGATTTTTTATCTTTGCATTGAACCCTTCGTATAATTGCCTTGTATGAGGCTTGGCATTCAGTAACTAGTTATTTAATCTCTAGTATTCTCTCTGTTAAAATGAGGTCATCTTTTAAAAACGATGATCAATGACATCTGCATCTGATTTGGTGTAAATTTGGTTTTAAATTTGTGTTTAAAATCAGTTGAGATTTTTCCCATCAGTGCTATGGTCTAGAAAACTTTCTGCAAAGGACACGTTACAATCATAAAAATCATGGTTCCATAATAATACAACATCAATTATTTCGATTTTGTTTTGAGTTTTCGAATTTTTATTCATCAATTTTAAAATATGAATTTATACCTGGCACATTGACATCTACAAAAATTGAGAGCTCTCTGCGCCAAAATGTTTGTATTAAGATGCAAATTTTTGCCCTCTCGTGAGGTATAAATTGACGAAGTTGCTCATAATTATTTTTGTCAAAACTCAAAAGCACTTTAAAAATAATTGCTCTCCTTCAAACTTTACTTCGCTGCACCAAAGATTTTTTTGTGGACTCTCATATTTTAGTACTAATGAATTCCTTACTTTAATTTTGATTTGTTTCCATAGATGACCTCATTTTAAATTAAATTCTCTCTAACAGTCTTGATCATTGATTTTTTAGTGTAGTCTAACTGATAAACCATTCTAACGACAGTGCATTTTGTTCCTTTGATTGCACTCTCTTTTGTTCTGTTTTGTTTGCTTACTAACTCATCTGCCCTATTTTTTGTTCTTTCGCATTTGCCTGTCCTCTCCAGTGGCGACATTTAGAAAAGGCGTTCGAGCTATTCAGATGGTTGGAAGAGCAAGTATGTTAACATTTCATTATTCCTCTAATCTTATTATTTTTACTTATTTTACTGAGTACTGGTTTTTCTTTCATTCCTCTTCATTTTTTAGCTGTATTTCTCAGGAAACTTTAACTATGTCAATCAAATTGAGGGAAAAAAGGGGCAATCCTTATGCTCAAGAATAATTTTGCTCTTAATTTTCTGAAATTGTGTGAAGACCTAGCGCTAGGTTTTTTTTTTTTTTTTTTTTGAGCAGTATGATCAGTGGGATCGTTGTCTGATCTTCCTCCATTTCGACCTCATAGTAAAGAAAAAGGAAAACCCACAAAGGAATTAATTGACAGAAATAATCGAGGGGATGGATGTGAAATAGTGCTTGTTCTGTTGAACCACAAGAGAGAGGAGTGCGTTCGAAAGGCGAAGTTGGAAAAAGTGGCATGGCAAACATTTTGAAGAAAGGAGACTGGCAAAGCACATTTTCAAATTCTAGAAACGGCTTTTATTTCTTCAGGACTTACCTACAAATAGTGATCCTCAAAAGAAGTACTTGATCTGAAGCTGAAAACTCAAGTTTTTACTTCAGATAACTTTTGAGAAACCGAAGAAGATAAAGTAAAGAATGTAATAGGTGGAAAGTTGGAATTAGAACACCAGAATATTTATGAAGAATATCTATCTCTTGTTGGACCAATGAGTTTTCATGCCATCCTTCACCCTTAATTTTTTTCTCTACCATGAGTTGTCTTGTTTGCCTTTCTATTTGTTTTCCTCTTGCTAGTTTAGAACTGAATAATAATTTACCTCTACTATAAATAATTCTATAACATATCTCCGCTCTTTTTTCTCGGAACCATCATTCATGTGTCTTAACAGTTTTTCCTGTCAATTATTGTGCTGGGTCCGGCCAAGTTAGGAATAAAAAGATATTAAAAAGGCTGGTGCTTCAAACGGTACACGTCGCAGTTTAGACAAGGCTAATTTGTGTGTACATACAATAAAATTGCATGTGTGTCAGAGTGTGTAATATTTTTTAATGACAACCTATTTTATTTTGTAAAAGTGCTCGTCCTTTGGAAGAGCTTGCTCACTTACTTTCTCATGGCTTTGTCAGGCTGTAGGCATTCAGCGTTTCTATTTCATATTTTTGTACGTTTTCTTAAGTGTTCGAAAAAGCGTTCTCTTTGAGTTTGTTCCTCCTGAAATTCTTGTCTCAAATAATCAAGGTGGTTTCTGGGAAAGTCAATACCCGCTCCATAAACTTGATGTCAGCGAGAGACCTAAATTTTTATCTAAAATCCTTTTCAAAACCTCCTTTTGTAAGATATGCTGGAGATTATTTGTTTTGTATCGAAAGCGACTTCTATGAAACGACTGTACCCTCATCCATCTTCAGGCAGGAGTGTGTGTCTTAGTATGTGTCCTAGAGCTTTTCAGAAAACTTCCTTACCTTTGAGTGGATTTTCTGTTTTGAATGGTGATTCCAATCCATTTTTTTAGACTTTTAAGTGTCTTTAGCAGTCAGTAGAGACATTGTTTTGTAACGTGAGGAGAGTTTATAATTCCTTTAAGACTTAGTATTTTTGGTGAAAGTGTGGCCAGACATAGGGTACTGAAAGTTGTTTCTGATTGCATGTGTGTCGTAAAAGTCACGTGTTGCTTTCTTAATTGGGTAATAAATGTTGTGTACCCTAGATCAGGAGTAAAAATATGTAACTGACAGTGCTATGAAAGTGGGCTGATGTTTTTTTCAAATTGGTTGCACTGAAGGAAGAGTTCACTATTATTTATGCATGTTTCTTCAGATCAACTTGTGGAACTTTAAATTTCAGTAAGAAAATATTCAGTCAGAACATGATCTGAGATTTATAACTGGCCTTAGAATTATATAATAAACGAATTTGGACTATTCAAATTATTATGACAACAAGTGTCAGAAGTTTGTACTTATCAGCTATTTATTTAATTTAAAACCTTTGTGAATATGCGTTATTAAGAAGAGACAACATTTTCATAAGCTTGAAGAAATCAGCAAATGCCATTATCAGTAGATGATGTATAAAAGTCCATCAGGAAGTTTTCAGCATGCAAATGCAGAATTTCAGTTATTCACAGTACTGACGTATGCCTTTTTAAATGGATCAATTTCCACATAATATTGGCACTGTTGTTTAATCTATGAGGAAATTACAATTGAATAACTGTTTAAAAATAGGCAAACTTTTGCCAATCCAAATGTTACATTATTTAAAAAATGGTCCAGGGGGGTGCTCGTCAATTCCATAGAGCATGGACAGAGGAAGAGGAAGGAAGCTTAATCTGTGATGTGAGCATTTTGCAGGAGAGGAGGATTAAACACAGTGCTCTGTAACAGTCGAAATGTACGCAATTTTGTGGAGTGTTTCTGAAACTTTTTGTGAAGGAAACGATTTTTCGGCCAGTTGTTTTTAAAAGGACAAGGAGAGGGAGGGGGTCAGCTCAGCTTCAAGTGAGTAATTAAGAGGATTATATGGTTTAATTGACAATAATTTATGAGGAAGAGTGAGCAGGCCTCAAACTATTTAAATGGCTTTAAACACAAGTTGTCTTTAGAACTTTCTAGAACTCCCTTGAATTTTCTTCAAATGATTTGTAAATGAAAGGAATGTAACTCACAAAGTAAGCCACAATATTGTGGTCCAGCTAGCCAAAGAGGAGGTTTGAAGTACGTCCGGAACGGCTACTTATGGCTGGTTACAGCTCGGTTACAGAAGCCTAAATGAAGGGAAGAAGGTTACTAAGTTGAGTTCAAAAAGCTCAGACTTCAGTATCAATCAGTTCGTTTTTGTTGTGCTATCAGTACTGTAGTTTACGTTCTTTTGAAATTGAAAAATGTGTATGATATTGTCTTTAGGTGTGCCAGGTACTTCTTGTGAGTGATTGGTGCATTTTGATGTTTATTTTGGTCTACGATTTTCAGGGTAGCTGTGAGGTATTTACTTGGTCAAATCCATGTTTGACATACTAGCTATATACTGTGTTCATAAGACGTTTTCTCAACACCTTTTTACATACACGCACCAAAATGTTGTTTACACGTTAACCAAGATTTCCAATTTGATTTTGGAGCGTGCGGTAGTTTCCAGTCATTAATACAAAAAATGCTTGAGTGACATTACTAAAATCTCCCTACTCTTTCAAGTACCTATGCCAATCATGACTCAGATTCTAAAAAATAATCTTATCAAGAATTTTTTCTCATAAAATTTACAAAATTTTTCCTTAAACTGCAAAGAAGGTTGTGATGATTGAATCTACTGACAAAAAATTCTTCATTAAATTTTTGTGCGAGTGCGTCAGAAAAAACTAGCCTTGACGAGTTTTTTTAATTCGTACCTTCTCTCTCTAAATGTACGTACATACTTAAGAGCCGCTTTTTTAGCGTCCTCTGGCACTTTGCAGCACCTAACGTCTCAGACACCTATCTTCCCACAGCCTTTCAGGAAGGTAGCATTCCCTAATTTCTTATAAATAGTCTCTATGAAGAGTCTCTCAAATCATTCGGCTGCACTAACAACTTGTTTTAGAGGCCTAGTTTGAATTCTTCTAGTAGAAACGTCATCAAATTTTGTGGGTTCCTATTTTGTTGCTTCAGGCAAGTGCATTTGCATAATTTATTGCGGTAAGGGTGTATATGTGTGTGTTTTATGTGTGTGATAATGACATTTTGGGAGGTATAGTGTTTGGTACATGGTACACTTCTACAAAACTTTGATACAGATGGTTTCAATTGTGATTAGCAGCTGTCTTATTGTCTCGAATGTTAATCCAAGCCTAATTGAGTCTCAAATAAGCTTAAATCTTTCTCATCAAAAATTTTACCGTGGCAACCATCTTAGTTGTAGTCCTAGTCAAGAAATGTAGGTATTTACTTTCAGTTTAAGTCCAATGATGAACCAGCCACCCCTGAAAAGTCTCTTCTTTGTCTGCAGGCAGAGTAAGAATTTACTTACTCAAAATATTAATCAGAAACTCTTGATTGTGTTTTTTTCTTTCCTTTTTCTTAAAAACGAAAACAAAACGTATAGATCTAATGGAAAGAGACATCAATCTAAATTTTCCATCCATTCAATCTGAAAAATGACTGAAGTTCTCTCATTTTAAAAATGATACATACAGGACTTATTAAAAACTTTAAATTTCCTTGATCATTGAAGGATTCCAGCAAAATATGTTTTATTGCATACAATCTTCAGACTCTTTGAGTCTTCTCTCTCCAGTGAGGTATTTCCTATTATTTTATATACCTATATCACCCTTATATTTAGGTATATTGTATTACATACATGATTACCACTAGGTGCAAACAAAAACCATTTTGATGTGTCCATCCTCCAGGACAGCAATCTCTGCCTCTTTTAGATCAACTCTCTTTATTAATGGTGCACAACTAAGTTACTAATCTCAAAATAGAAAAGTCAATTAATTCTGTCTCTGTTTCTTTTTTGTTCTGTTTTTCGTTTTCTTCTTCGTTTTATTTTACCGTCTTCTCTCTCGACAAATCCCTGAAAAGGCGAAGATTACTCATACGCAAGTAAGTTAGGCTTTAAGAAACACATTCTTATTCAAGTACATACCCCATTTCCTCTACTTGGCCTTGTGGAACTCATTAGACCTATTGCTCTTCCCTGGAATTGTGCCTGAAATATTCTGTAGATTAGAATCCCCCCCCTCCTCCATTGCACAAGTGAATCAGCTGTCCGAGGCCTCATTGGATATATACTTAGGCAATGTTCTTCCTCGTTAAGGAAAAGCATTTCCATGTTTCTTGATAAATCCAGTGGATTGGTTATTGGAAACTTTAAGAGTTTTATAGCCCTGCAAATTTTTAATGACACCACATTGCCAGCAGTAACTTGGATGATTTTTCAGTATTTTTTAGAGCCGATTGAGTAAAAAATTACAAAAATTCTGTCAATCAGGATTCTTCCAAATTTCAAAATTTTCGTTTTTTAAATGGAAAAAAATCATTTCAAAATATTTTGCAATTGATGGTAAAATTACCCAATATTATACTTTACATCCCCATCAAGAAAATCCACCAAAAGCTGACCGAAAAGCTTCTGAATGTTGTAAATATTTTTATTTTTGGAAAATTTGGCTAAAAAAAAACCTTTTTAATTTTCAAAAAGCCTAACGTGGTCGAATTTTCCGGGCATTTTCACCAAACTGAGAGCTGAAAGCTCTCCAAAGCTTTCCAAAATTAATATTACATCGTCCAAAAGTCAAAGAGCCGTGCTATCGATGATTGATCAGAGTTTCAATAACTGCTCCTCTCAGAGAACCAGCGGACTAGTGTATATCACTTTAGTTCCTCTTTTTCTGTGTCTACAGGCAAGGAAAGTCAAGTCTTTAATGAAAGTTGATTTTTTAGCTCTTGATGGGGAGTTTTTTACTTAACACATTAAGAATCATTAAAACTACTTTGCACCAAAATAGAAAATAAGTTCTTATCTTATTATCTTTCTTTTATACTTCCTTTTTCCTTCAACCATTGATCTTGCAAATAAAATTATACAAATGTGAACATCGAAAATTTAACTTTATGTAACTTTCTTCTTGGTTTAAATTACAGTGTAGTGTGATAATTTGTTTGCAAGCCTGTAGACACGTTTCTTCACTCCTTTCACTGAGTAGTCAGATAGTTTTCACCAGTTCTAAAAGTGTTCAGTGTTGATTATCAAGGATTATATTATCCAGTATTACATCTATGGTTGAGCGTTAGTATTCCTTTTAGTCCTAGATGCAGTTGAATTATTTTCTGTTAATGTATCAGAAATTAGCAAGATTAATTCTCGATGTTCTCTTTATTCTGATCCGTTAAATCATGTTGCATAAATTTTACATTAGAAGAGAGAGAGAGTTAGGGAATCATATTTCAGTGGTCAAGAATAAATTTAAACATTTTTACGAAAAAAAAAATCAGGTTTTTTTTTTTTTATATTTGTAGAACAGTAAATTATTTTGAATAATTTTATCGAGTTTAAAATTGGTAAAATATGAAAAGCAAGAACCGGCCTCAAACATTCCTTCAAATTTAACTCGCTGTCAGCCAATTTTTCCTAAATTCATTCGTTGTAAATTCTGAGCTTGACCTTTTTGACTTGCATAGGTATCCAAGTTGATTTCCAGTGTAAAACCAAGTTTAGACCAGCTTGCAATGTAAGAAGTTTTTAATGTTTAATTGGGAATTACAGTGAATTTTTATTTAAACACTCAAACAAAGGATCAGAATTTTCTAGATTTTATAGTTCTTGATTTCCAACACTGACTCATGAATTATGAACAATTTAATTTTCAGTAGGTGCTAGCAACAAAACCTTTCAATGCATAATTTTATAGGACTCACTCAGTTCATAAATTTTTGGGGCCGGCGAAAATCATGAAAATAAATGTTTTCGTTGTTTCAAAAATAAAGAGGTCTTTGTGTTCATTTCATCTGAAATGTGCTTACCCCGTCTGTATTTGCCGTTCTAAGTCCATTTTAATCCAGTTTCTGTAAATAATATCTTTAAAAACAGTTATCGTAACCAAAACCTCAAATCTAATTTCGTCAAGGCCATTCGTCTTGTCTCCTACTTGACCTAAGTATTATTCGCAGCTCATGATTTAACCCCTGCTGCTACTTGCTGATGGAATCAATTGGTCCATTAATGCTTGATGCATATGTGTTCCACGGTTGAAAGCTTATCCAAGTTTGATTTGAACAAAAAGACAAAGATATTATCAGTTGCTAGCTTCCACAAGTTATCAGTTATGTCTCTTGTGTCCCCACTTTTTGCACCTATATTTCTCATGTTTTGTGCCAAAAAATCTCGAAAAGTCTGATCAGGAGCAATTTCTGCATAACAGGTCTTCAAGTGAGGAGGAGAAGGTATTCAGAGAATAGAAAACCCATAATATCTTTTTGGTTGGAATTAAATTTCTAATTTTTCCCAGCATAAATCCATATATCAGCCCTCAAAAGTTGATTGTGCTATTCTTGCAGAAATTACTGTCGAAAGTAAAAAATTATCTCAAATAGTGACAGCCAGTAATTTCCCAGTATCTGTCGAGAAATTGTCTTGAAAGACAGCTGCTCAGAGCAGCGTACCTACTGATATGAGGGTTACAGTTTACACAGCCATTGATGAAACGCTTGTATCATTTTCGACTATGAAGCAATTGCTTATAGAGGAAAATATTGTAATAATAAGCAGACCAAAGTAATAAAAAATTAAATCTCCCCATTACTTTGGCTTTAAGGAAAAGGAAGCCTTCATCAAGAAGCCTTGAATCAATATCATGAAAACACGAGGTTAATTGAAACATGTGCCATGAGAGGGTCAGTTGTGTGGATTATAGAATAGTGCACTGAGAAGTGCAACTTCAATATTATATAAAACATAATGAGATTGGCCCGAATGTAAAGTTTCTGTATCAGGTGTAAACGGAGATATTACTGTTTAAAACTTACAGCATATCGACGGTGCAAGTCGGCAATCACATAACTCGGTTTGCGACGTTGCAGACTTCCTATCATACTTTATTTTTTAAATGGAAAACTACTCAACGGCAATTCTTTAAAACTGTCATGATTTTTCTTCTCAATGCAAAGAAAATTCTGCAAAAACTTCAAGAAATAATGTCAATTTGCTCTCCTTTATAAAAATGACGTAGAGGCGGAGATTTTCAGACACCGCAAACGAGTTATGTGATTGCCGACTTTCACCGTCGATATAGCCCATATAGATGGTGTAAGTTCGTAACTACGTATCTCGTTTGCGGTGTTTGAAAAACTCCGCTCCTGTTTTATTTTTTTAAAGGAGAACAAATCGACATCATTTCTTGAAGTTTTTGTAGAGTTTCCTTGGCATAGAGAAGAAAAACACAGCAGTTTTCAAAGAATTGTCGTTGAGTAGCTTTCCATTCCAAAAATCAAGTATGACAGTATGAAGTATGAAGTCTGCCACGTCGCAAACCGAGATACTTTCGTGATTGGGGACTTACACTGTCAATATAGCATTGTGTACCTTGGTCTCCAAAACTTTGCATGCAGAACAAACCCGGCGCAGCTTTTAATAAGCTATCTTTTTTCCCCTTCTTTTGAAGGCGACAATGTGCCTACAACCTGTGGTTTTCATATAAGTAGCAATAATGTAACCACATCTAAAATTCTAGACTCATCTCCTAACGTGGGTCGAGGAATGGATAAATTCAAATGTTTGTGCAATGTCATTAAATTACAGAATTTAGTTCCTGACTTTTGGCAAGTGTTTTTCTTTGTCAATTAACAGTTTTGTTGAAAAGGGCTCAAAAGTGAACCAAATTTTCTCGAAAAAATTCGCCTTTTTTTCAAGAAAATGAGATAAAGGCAGCTCAGCGATTTTGCTCATGATCAGAAAGAGAAAGAGATGCTAGCATATAATCACAAGAGAGGAATGAGTAATGTTGCATCAGCTTCAAACGGGTTGAAACACTAAATCATGAAGCATGGTTTGCATGATTAGTACTGCTTGATGACATGTTCATTGCTCACCTTGACTTGCATGTATTTTGACTGTGTTTTGCAACTGATGATGGTATTCAGTAGTTTTCTCATAATGATATTTGGCGACTTTTTGTCCAGGTACAGTTCATCATTGCTTAATTGTTATCTTTGTAATCTTCTAGTTTTATATAATTATATTAAGTGTGTATATGCTGTAAATTTGCATTCATTTTTTATTGATGTTTTATCCACCCTTTTGGTGGAAATAATAATTTTAGAGAATTTTATTAAACATTCAGTAACATTGATTGCATTTACAATCAGATCATATATTAAAGAAGTTCTCTATTTGGTCAAAGTGGGAGGGGGGGGGGGTTAAAATGCATCGCAAAGAAACGTTCAGTCAGTTTGTGTGAGCTAGATAGACCTAATTTGAAAACCCTATCCAACAATCTAAGGTTGGCAAAAACTTTTTCTGAGAAACTTGCTTTAGTCGATAGGGATTTAAAGTTTGTATTTCCCGTTTCATAAACTTTTTTTTATTGCACAATATATCATGATGAATGAAGTATTTAAATGAACCCTTGATTTGACCGTGTAGGATGAAACGGAGGAATAACTTTTAGACTGTCGCATTTAGAATAACTAATTTTAGAATTTATCTTTTTCCTAACTCTTGGTTTAGTTCTGTGCTTGTCAGCTCTTATGTGACTGATTTTGAAATTTTACTGACAACGGTTATTGGAGAAAAATAACTCTACCAGGATCAGTAACTCCAAGTATGGTTTGCTAATGTTATGATCCGATTTGTACACTTAGAGTGTCTCCTCATCTTTGGAGCGATGTCCAAAATTAGCATCCTCTTGAGAGCCAGGAACCAAACATTGGTTCAAACAGTCTGTAAAAAATCGTAGAGAAATTGCTTTTTCGTTTGCTAATTCGAGTTAAATTCGCAGAAGAACAAATGAAAGTGATGATGGTTGCAATCGTTATTCTTCATTTGCCAATTGTCAGCGTTCTCCTTAGAAACCAAGGCTCACAAAATTGTAATAAAACATTCCATTAGGTACTAAATAGGTTAGAACCCTTGACGGAGAGAGTGTTGTTCCTTTTAAAAAAAAATCATGAGAGAGTCAATGCCATGCATATTCAGGCTCTTTGTACATTTACTGTACTTACATTTTTCAAAAATCATCCACTATTCTGTCCTCTTGAAAAGAATGCTGAAGCCCTGTCTTATATTTGCAGGGTTCAAAAGAAATTGAGGAAAATATGATGCATAATAACGACAATATTATTTAAAAACTTGTTAAAATCTTTGGCATTTTTTTACTAAAGATTTTGTGTTGACGGTTTTCATCAATTTAACAAGTGGGCATTAATGATTCGATAAGCATGAAATCATTTCATGGGCAGCATTGGGTAGCATCAAAAGAGATTTTATTATTGTTTGTACCTAATTTGATATTATCGGTTTTCATTTTTATTCATTTTGATTCAAACAAAAATATAATCCCTCCCTGGGACACTTCCAATGGGAATTAATTGATACCCTTAATACCTTGTAGGAATTCTGCATAGGACTTGAGAGATAATTCATCTGAAACCGTCGATCAAATTAATACATAAACAGGAAAAGTAAAAAAGTTGCCTATTAAAAATTTCAAAATGTCTTTATAATTTAAGTGTCCATGAGGAAAACGACTTCAGAGCAACTAGACTACAGTCAGAGGAGAGAATCTCTTGTCAGATAGGTTGAAAAAATCAGAATTAGAGTTTGCAATGAGAAACGCATTAGATATCCCAATCCACATCCAATCCACGAAAGATATCCCAATGAAAAAGTCGCTGATGGTTCATTTCATCCTTTCGCCAGTAAGAGGCCTCTTGTTGCATCGCAATTAAACAATTTTGAATCCCCAATGTGCTAGATCAAAACTAAAACTACAACTGCCTAGCTTTGTATGGAAACTAAGTTCTTTGAAGTGAAAAATTCAAATCTTTATAACTCGAGAATAATTTGGTATTAATGCGCTTTTTTGCATTTGAGGGCAGTGGTACCAATATCTCAATTTTTATTCTTTTAGCTCTCCTCCTTTTTTCTCACATATGGTTCGGCTGTCATATATGAGGGTTTCGAGGAAGAATTTCACTAAAGATAAACTTTTATGGATCTACTGAATACATTTCTGTGGCACAAGTCTCATACCTCCTCCATAAGAGCTGACAACCAATAGGTTTTGAAATGTAGTGTTAAGTTAGTGTGACTGTGTGTTTGCAGATGAACACCATCTTCCCCCCACGTTTACTCCACCAGAGCTCCCAAAGAAAGTTCATATAAGAGGTATTTTAGACCTTTGATTTCTTTCCGTTCTGTCTCATTCTCATTTGTAACTGCTATTTCTTTGTTCAGGCTGCATGAGTGTCAAGAATATATCTCTGTTCCGCTCGTCTTCTTCCTAGGAGAACCAAGGTGCAACTACCCAGTGGTAACTCATAAAAATTAGGAACACGCGAAAATGTTTCGCTGGACCTCCATAGCGCAACAAACATGTGTATTATTCAACTCACAGATGACGCATTTAAATGCAGTCTTTTAAAATTCCTTCCTCTGCTTTCTTTTTGAATGCCAATTAGCAATTGCTCTTGTCGCAAATGAGAGTCAGTAGAGAGAAAGTTGGGTACTTATTTCATTGATTTTCGGACATTTTTAATGATTGCCCTTAAAAAAATCAGGCAAAATTAACTGTTCCTCTGATTTTACAAGTTTGAAGTGTAGCATCCAGAATACTTGCTTCCCCTTTTATTTTCATTCATCACTGTAAGAAAATACATACATCTCTTTCAGGATTTGTAATTAATTCCAGGGGTCAGAGGAACTAGGTTCTGCTTGGTGTTACCTAATTTGTGAGAGAAGTTTGCATTTGCATCATGGGTACCGTTTTAGGAAAAAGGGCCTTAAAAAATTCAAGAAGTGTGTCATGGAGTGATTGAATGCTCCCTTACCAAACTAAAGATTTGATTTTAAAGGAAAATATTCTGTTCTTTTTTCAAGTGTGGAAGAATGGGTCACTAGACAAAATGTATGAATTAAAGCACTCTGCAACATATTTTCTCTTCAAAGTTTTAAGAGGATAACGAATAATACATAGGAACGTCTGGAAATGAACTCCCGAAAAAGAAACAAGTGTTGATGATTAACATTAGTTTAAATGGCAAAAATACAAACGGCATCATTCATATGATCTAACTTCCATTTGGACGTATTTCTGCTAAAGAGAACTATGTACATTATGACATGAGCCCTGTTATGCATATAGTCTTATGGGTCTCAAGGCTCATGTTCAAATGCACATAGTTCTGTTTGGCAGAAATATGTTCATTTGATCTGTGTCAAAAATACTCGTTCACATGTTGTTCAGGAGTTTATTTCCGGACTTCCAGTTGTATTAATAGTTTTGTGTGTAAGATTTTAAGGAGAAAAATGTGAATTTCTTTCCCTAGTTCAGACCTTGTCTAATGGTCCATTACAGAAAGCAATACAACTGCATTGGGTTAGAGGATCAAGTTGCACCTTCTTTCTCAATAAAACCTCGGCATCTATCATGTCTTTGGAGGGTTGTAACTCGCATCATATTCATCTACTCCAGCTTTCAAAACACAGTTCGGTCCAGTACATTAAATTTCCCCCTGTGCTGTCATTTTTTCATCAGGTCACATCATTCTATTTATCCGTGTCCCGATCTATCTTTGTCATTTTATCCTTCAAATCTGTTGAATGTTTCCAAACTGTTCCAACCTCTGTTTTCATGTTAGTCTTAGACTGTCCTGTTGCAGTCATCCTGAATCTAGTTTTGCACATCTAAATCTTTTTTGTTTCAGTTTATGAAAATGACTTGAGTTCCCAGTATGTATTAAATTATCTTTGAGACGACTCTTCCCATGAAACCGTTAGTTTTTCGTAATAGATTTTCCGTTAATTTTTCTTAGACCCATGGCTCACCAATATCCCGATTTATTATACTAGAAGTGACGAAATAGAGAAATAATTGAATAAATGAAGGTAAATATGGCTAAATGAATGAATGAGTGCACGGATGTGTTTTCTAGCGATGCCTTCTCATGAGATCAGTCACCCTCAGGTCACTTTCTTTTCCTAATCCATAATCTGAGTATTAAGGGGGAAAATATGTTTTTTTTTCCTTTCTCAAAACCTGAAAGTCTCTTTAAGTGTTTTCAAAAATGATTTAGATTAATATTAGGGCCAACAAGAAACATAACCACTAATAGGAAATGATCTCTCCCATCAAAGGAAGCATAAAAGTAAAAGATTATTATTGACTAATCGCTCTTGAACATTTAATTTTTTCACCTGTCTCAAACTTTAAATCAGCACATCCCAAGTAGCATTTAAGGGAAAAGTCGCAATTTATTGTCATTTTATCGGCGATAAAATTGCTAGAATCATCAACATCTGAGCAATTATCCTCGATCTTATTGCAGTAAAATTGTTATTTTATCGCCCGGCAATTTATCGTGATATGATCAAGACAAAAATTGCACTGTATGGCGATTTAATTTCGATTTTGTTGTAGAAAATTGATCGCGATTTTATCGAACAAAAATTGCGATGAATAGCAATTTAATCGCCATAAATCGCAATTTTTACTTTACAAATATTGCGATAAATTGATACCGATATAATCGCGATAACCGACCGATAAAATTGCAATTTATCGCGACCACTGCTATATGGGATAATTGAGCATTACTGTATGAAATCAATGCCTTTTGAATAGGTACTTATATTTCTTAGCTACTGAAATGTCCAGTTGTTCAATATGTTGGAGGAGTATTTTGAGTGAATGAACCATCTAGTTTGATCGGGTTTGAAAATAGAACTTTTTCACAAATAAACATTTTTGAAAAAGGGAGATAGCAAAAGGACAGGTTTAATGGGAATTCTATGATGGTTATGACTGTGTAAACAAGGGAGGGTGTGTGCACTTGTGTTCATGTAAGAGTGTGGTTTTCTTTGTGATAACTTTTCGCATGAACTAAGTTACTCAACCTAATTTTTTTCTGAGGCTCAATAACTCTGATCAAACAATCAACACTAATTTCTGTGTAAAAAGCTTCATGAACTAGTTTCATGTGAAAGTGTGACTCCAGCTCAAACCTACAGTGATAACCCTCTGTGATTCTGCGGCTTCCAAAGCTTTCAGAGTCAAATCGTTTGTAAAAGTCTATTTTGTACCCTCATCATGAAATTTTAAAGTCGTCCATCCCTCTAGCAATCAATTTCATTGGCCACTTTTCATTATCAGTAGTGAAGTCAAACCTCAGTCCTGATTATTTGCTTTATTGGTAAAAAAAAAGAAATGATTCCTTCCATCAAGCAGTTTTTTTTTTTTTTTTTTTTTTTTTTTTTTTTATGCAAATTGAGTTCATAGTTGGCCACAAATGAAAATGTGCCCATTAATTATGTTTTTAAATTTTTATTTAATTGAATTTGTAACCGCAAGTTTTTCTTGCACTGAAGCTTTGTGTAAATTCAGCACCAATTTCTCTCAACTTTCACCTAAGTTTTTGTCGCACCTAGCACTGTACATATGTTCAGTCATCGTTTTGGTTCTTTAAATATCAAGCATGTCAACAATGATCTGTATAATTCAGGTTTTGTACAAGTAATACATATTGTGACTTTAAGTATTGGTTTCATAATGCACTCTTACACGTATATTTATCAAATCATTTTTCATGCTGTCTCAATTATAAATCTGAGAATTGTGTATTTTTAATGGTATGAGACAGGAGATATTCTATTTTTCAATTGAAGGCGATTGAGCAATGCAAAAAATAAGTCAGTCATGCAGTTTTGAGTGTTAAAGTAAAATTATTTATTTTGTGACAAATGTTGGTAACTTCAGGAAAGCTGTTTTACCTTCTTGTTAATTCAAGCACGGTCGAGCTGGGTTTTTGGTAAATGAGGAGTCAAGTATGGATTAGACTGTAGAAGTAATCTGTTTTTTTTTTTGAGTGGCCTGTTAATTCTTACAGTTTGTTTGTAAATATGTTACCTTAATCAACCCTGCCATAATTTCACTAACGCCATTTTAAGCTACAACTGACACTTATGCTAAAGATTTATTGCAGCAGATGAGAAGCTATATTTGAATAGAAGGACGTAATTTTGTAAGTTGCAGATGGTTCCACAACTGACTTGATTGACACTTAAGAATGATTTATCTACAGAATGAAAATATGGATGACTAAATGTAAAAAATGTGTATTACAATGCAACCATTAATAAGATTTAACAATATTTAAAGTCCTTCATGGAAAACTGATTACAATTAGTGTCCCTTGCAATTGCTTGTGATCTTTTCAAACTGATTGAAAGAAATTCTCAGAATATTTCAATCAAAACTGTAGGTTAAGTTTTCCTGTAACAGAATAAAATATGAGCAGAGATTTATGAAGTCGCAATCGAAGATACATATTTTTCGATTTTAGCCATCAATAGCATGTTTGCGATACTCCAAGTTTGATGAAATTTAAACATTGATTGTTTAGAAAATTAGTTATTTACTGTCGGACTTTTATTCACGCCAGTGAGGAGATGAAGCTTTAAAATCATGGAAAAACAGCGGGATTTAAAAACTTGGATTTTTTCATGACCTTTTAAGTACCTCATTACATTGTCCATGAACTTTTGAAAGTGAAAGACTAATGATCATAGGTAGTGAGGAGACATGCTCTTATTCTCATGATGTATTGATGTATTGTATTGAGGTAAACTGGCTGAAATTAATTTACATCTCATGCATACTGGCCTTGTAGTATTGGAGAGGTAGCCCCTAGTTTCATATTCAATTCTGGTTTGAGCTATCGTTTCTAAAAGTACTAATATTCTTGTTGCTAGTGATCGATAAGAATTCAATTGAAGAGGCGTATCAGCATTAGTTTTTCATTAGACATTCTAAGCTGTTACTTTGTTGAATAGAGCTTTGTATAGGATACTTATGCTGATTTGCGTTTAATTTTGACCAAAGTTCTAATGACTTGCCCTCTGTCCCCCTAGGTGATGGTGGTGAATTGAAACATCAGGATGATGGAGGTAAGAGGTTTTATTTATTTATTTTTTTTTTTTTTTTTTTTTTTTTTTTTTTTTTTTATCATATTTTAGCCAGAAAGATTTAAGAATTAGAGGCAACTTTACCCTTTATGTCTCTATCCCTAAACTTGTTTTTTATCATCTCCTTTACTCTTTAGTTTTCTATGTAAATTTGCTCATTCCTGATAATTTTCAAAAGAGTTGAAATATTTCATTGGCAGTTCTTGTGAGATGTGTGTTCATCTTTGTTCCTATCGATGACAGGAAGAGCCAGCCTCAATGGTGTAATGGTCAAAGCATTTACTGTCAGTACTGAAGTTGCGAGTGCGATCCCCAATGGTGACAGGCTTTTCAGCCTTGAGGAAATGTAATCTGCCACAGTAAAAGAAAACGCCGTATGAAAATTCGACCGCTGCTAAATTTCTCTCGATAAAGTGCGTTTTTTTTAAAAGAAATTATGAATATTTTTTTGCAAAAGTTTCAGATGATTTAGCCCATTTTATGAGCAAAATTCTCTAAAAAATTGAAGTAAAAATATCCTAATATTTTCTTGAAAAATCATAATTGAAAGAAATGGGGCAATGTCTGAAGGCTCATACAGCGTTGTTCCTTTGTACAGCAGTTGCAGTAATTTGTATCTTGAGCTTGAATAAAAGGAGCAGAGTTCAACCTCAGGAGTAAGTATGTAATGGACCATGGCCAAACATGTCCCCCAGAGGCCATCAGAGGGCGCCTTGCTGTTATGCCTGGCTCACTACTACCTACCACTCTTATAAGGACAATAGGACATAATTTGCTTTATGATTTTTACAATAAATAGGTCTGAAGTAGTCATGTGAAATTATCAAATCATGTATAATTATGTTCGTCAATAATGCCACAGACAAGGAGAAAATTAAAAGTTGCTCATTTTTGTGCTTAGTTATGGGAATGCGGAACCATCGATCACCACCCCCTCCCCCAATCATGAACTCAACAATGAAGCAGGTGAATAAAGTAAAACCTACGATAAGCCGCCTGACGGACAGTCTTTCCCCAAGTAATCAGCAGTATACAAGGTGAGTGAAAAATTGCTCTTAAAATCAATCCGTTCTGTGTAGCAGCTTCATTAACCTCATATTTCTCTCTTTTCTCAAAATTTACCTTGTGTATTGTAAAGTTTTTTGAGGCATAGACCTAGGTTAAGATTAGAGTTGCACTAAAAGGATGTAATCGCTTGAAGCAACCAATGAAATAATCATTAGGCAGTCCTGGAAAATTTCTCTGGATAGCTTTAAATAAGGGCTGAATTATTTTTAGGTGCTTATGATTATTATTTTTTTTACTGTAAAATTAATTTTCTCAATTAAACATTTTTTTCTTTTTTTCTGTTTTTATTGAAAATATCGTGGGTCAGTTGCGCTGGTCACAGAATCGTGTTTTGATGCTTGATTCTTGTAGATTAGCTAAAAATAATGAGATCCAAACCACAACTCTCTACGTCCAATATTAATGAAGATATCACCCTTTGAAAAGTCGGATTTTTAACGTCATCTACGGCGGTAGTGGCATCCTTAGTTTCCTCCTCTTTTGTTCGAGCAGTGATGCAGAGGGCGCAACGCGAAACTTTAGCAACATTAATCATAAACAAACTCAAGAAATAGAAGGATTTGTGCTTCAAGGATCCTCTTATCAGGAGATAACACACTCTATGCAGAGAAATAAGGCGGTCAGTCAGTTCACCAGTTCTTTTGTGTCTAATGTCGTTGGAGTTTTGTGTTGCGCCCTCTGCATCACTAACGGAACAAAAGAGGAAGAAACCAAGGGTTTCACTACGGTAGTGGATGACGTCAAAAACCTGACTTTTCAAAGGGCGATATCTAGGTCAATATTGACTGTAGAAAGTTGCGGTTTTGAAGGATCTTATTATTTTTAGCTACTCTACAAGAATCAAGCATCAAAATACGATTCTGCGACCAGTGCGACTGACCCATTGCTTGGTATTTTGCCAAGAAAAATTTCACCTGAAACCAAAAGCATTTTTCTGCTTTTATGAAAGTGTGTATTTACACTCAATTTTTTGCAATCGGTCCTTTCTATTTTGTCAAGTCATCCTCAACTTGAGCCAAAAACTGAAAATTGAATTAAAAATTTGATTTCTTTTAATTAAAAATTTGCATGCAGTTTTAAGATTTAAGTTTTCCAAAATTAAATTCTAAGTTTTGCCATTCTTCACAATTTTGAAAAGAAGTCAGGTTTGGTACTCCCAGCATTGAAGTTATTGAGTCCTTGCTGAAATTTTGTAAGGTGAACTAGCATGAAGCCAAAAAGAGGAAAAAAGAAAAAAAAAAGGAAAATATCTCAGGAGCGGCCCAGGAAAATTTTGACCGGAAGAAGTTAGGACTGTATTAACAAATTTCTTGCAGTCAATATTTTTTCGAGAAACTCTTTGTTTTTTAAGATTTCTTGAGGAAAGACAGGTTCTAAAGCATACATTAAAGAACTTCTCTAGAAGACAGAGGAAATTTTCTTTTATTACGACCCAATGATTGAATTGCATTAATCTTTTATGTGGTTTTAAGGTGCCATTATTCAGCTATATCTTGTTTCGTTTTCTTTTTGTAGGAATTTTGTACTTTCTTAACAATAATTTTTACTAAAGCATAAATTTAGCAGCTTTTTTTTTTGTTAATTTTTATCAAACTAGCTAGGTACTTGTTGCTGCTTTTAAGCAAAATATTGATACTTATTAATCTATGAAACATAAGAGTTTTTAACCTAGAAGGGAAATCCGAGAGAGCATCAGTAATTTAACTTGGAAAACAAGTCACCAATTTTTTAAACGTTTTCTACAGGAGGCAATCCATAGAAAATATTTTATATCTGTATTTTGGATCTCAAAGTATTTTTTGAATTTTTTTTCTTTTGCTGCTGCTGCCTTAACATTTTTGTAATTGAGGTGTCTTGTAACGACAAAATAATTGCCCCCTCCCCCTTATCAACCGTTTTCCCTTCTAACATTCTGTAACCAAACTGCATTCTACTGTTCGTTTTTTTTCAATATTGGGGGAAATTCATCATTTTCTATGTTGTCAGGTATTAGTATATAGTTGAGTTCATCCTGTCAGTGCTCAGCCACCTCTAAATTCTGAAGCAATTAATTTATGAACCGTTCATGATGTTCAGTTCGTCCCAAGATTTTTTTTTTCAGATCCGTCCTCTTTTTAGGGCAATAATTATTTCTACAGCAACCATATGAAGATCATCTTATAGGCTTGACAAGCTTCGTTTCGTGGTAATAGTGAAGTTTGTGCGCTATTTTTCAGGCTTCCTGACTCGGAGCCCAAGTATGCTGGCTATCATCTGGCCTACGAAGTGAAAAAACTCATGTACGCCCTTTTTCTCATTTCTTTCTCTTAAGCTCTTTTTCTAAGCCCTGTTCTTGTTATCGGTGTTCTTTTGTTTCCAACAAGCAAAAATTATGTACATACACATAGTATAGTCACCATAGATGAGTGTTGCCAGGCTGTTTAGAAATATCCCTCTTCCCTCCATCAAGGTGTATTTAGAAGAGATCCCAACCATAGTTAACTGAAAGTAAATTTTTTTCACTTTCATTCGGCATGTAAACAGAAATTACATTTTTGAGTTGTACATTAGTAAACCTTAAAAATATTTATCAAATTAAAAAAAATCAAACCGAATGCACTGTATCATTCAACTAAAGATATTTTTTGAGCTCAAATAAGTAATTTTTCTGTCAAGAACATATGAGGTACTACTGCTGGATCCGATTTGGAACTCTTGGAATAAAATTTAGAGGTGCCGAAATTGCCTAGTTAAGTCATTAAGTGACAAAGTGATGTAACAATATAAACAAATTGCTTTGTTTTTATGAAGGCTAAAACTAATGAAATTAAATGAAACCAAAAAAATTCTAAATTCTTTCTTTTACAGTAAATGTTTGCTTTGTCGAATAGAATTACTGAGTTAAATTATAGAATTGATTTGTATATCAAGGACTAAGGAACTATACCGCCCGACAATTTTAGAGAAAATGAGTTAGCAACATTGTAGCATTTTAAGCTGATGTTTTTAGTTTTTTCCAATTCTGCATGCGAGTGCTGTAATGACCCTGTATGTATAAGAAAAATTTCAAATTTAACTACGAAAATGGCGAAGTTTTTTCTTTGTCCTACAAAATCTTTAGTTTGTAGATAGGGCGTATTGTTCCTTAGCAATCAATAAACATACATCCTTTACAAAGTTCATCAAACATTTTTCAACAGTTTTTCATGAGTAAATATGGTTCCAGAGCTCAAGTCGCAAATAAAAATTGATAAGTTTTTTGTTGAGAAATTGAAGTCGAAATTTTTCCCAAGCATATCATTCTCTACTTAGTTTCCTTGATTTTTCCTCAATTTAAATACTTACGAAAATTCCCCCTGGGAGTTTTAAAAGTTTTTAATTAATTGAAAATACCTAAATCTTTGAACCTTAGTAATTCACAGTTTTGTATTAGGCCTGTGTTAAAGTAAAAAATGTTCACATTTAAACCACAGCTTTTATTCTAACAGGTGCCCCAGTTTTCTTTTTGATTATTCATCAAATCATGGGATTTTTTTAGCAGTCTGGCAACTATTCATAGTCCTTATACGATTCTCTTTCAACTTCTTGTTTTTCTTCTAGTTTAAGATTCTTTTAGTTCAGTCATTCACCATTCTCCCTTTCATTGTTCCACTATTATGACCTAAATTATCCTGCTGTTCGAAGCACTTACTGTTACAAATTAGCGGGAAGTTTTTTTTACAAATACGTCAGGTATGAAGGAAAAATCTGATAACGGGAATGTATTTTATTCTAAAATTTTCATACATATTTGCTCCTGAGCCGCTGGATGTAGATTTTAAAGTTTCTTGATATGTTTGAAATTCAGAAGCATTTTAAGGTCATTTACAAAAATCAAGGGTAGAATTTAATACTTGTTTTATTTATTTTCAATTTTTTTCTCTAAGTTTGTTTTGTATTTATTTCTAATGCACTTATTCAAAGTAGTCATTAATGTTTCCAAGAACTTGTTAGAAGTTGTAGCGACCAAGAGAATACAAGAAAAGTCTATTTTAAATTTGAGATTTTTGGCATGCCAATGATCAAGGGTCAGCAGCTGTAGTTTAGGTAAGGACCTAACTCCATGTGTCAAAAATGACCGTTTCTAATTAAAGTAATTGTATCAACGGTAGAGAGTCTTGCTCAGACAAAAGCACGAGTTTCATGAGAATAAGATTTTTTGTCAAGATTAAGTTTTTCATTGAGTCATTTACTGCAGGGTAAAATTACCCGCACCCGCATTAAAAATGCCCCACTGAAGTGAAAAATTTTACCTACTGTCCTTTCAATGGAAGATCGTACTGCCAATTGCACTTGGCTTGACTGAAAATTAATAACATGCTTTTTGAGATAAATTAGAATTAATCCAGTTTAAATCTTGATTTTGGCAGTTTTAAAATGTGTCTCAAAAATTGTGTGTCTAATTTGGAAATGGGTTCATGAAAGGGCACCAATAGGGAAAAAAGTTGCTCTAAGGTATGACATTCATCTATTCGAAATTGAAAGAAAAAGTATGCTACTCGTATGCTTAATAAACTGAATATTCAAAGAGATTGCAAGCACCAGCCCTTTTTTCTTCCTGTTTTAAGTTAGGTAAGTCTGAACTTCACTGTTCATGGGAGCACATGCAGAATGCTTTGTATTCAAAGTAACACAAAACACTTTTCCTCCTTCATTCTTTTATAGCCGATGCTCTACCCTCCGCCATGTCACTTATCACCACTCTAGAGCGATATTACCCCTCTCTCTTCACCTTTACTCCTTCCTTCCCTGCCTGTTATCTACTCATTTCTCCCTCTCCATGTTTATGAGAAATACAGCAGACAACAGAGTCTAATTTCCCTCAAATATTGGGTTCATATCACCATGAATAGTACAAAATGTTGTAATTAGTCTGGGTATCAGGAAACCATCGTATCTGAAAAGATGTATTTGTGTATGTGCGTAGATGACTGCAGTATATTTTAATTATCTCCTAATAGTTCTCTTTCTAAAATTTTCATTCTATTCTCCTCTCCATCTCTGGAAAACATTTGTTTGGTTCAACGTCCGAATAAGTCTTTGTCTTGATGTGTTATTTGTCGCATTTTACTTCTGTCGATCTGAACTCTATTTTCTATTCTTGACAATGGACCACTAGACAAGGTACGAATTTAAGCAATCTCATACATGTTTCTTAACCAGAATTTCACGTAGAACACGATTCGCACAACGAAAATTACTGAAACCAGCTCCTGATGAAGATATTAACCTTTTTATTTCACATTGGTTACGCGGATTTTGAACTGCCCGCTCACAAGAAACTCAAAGCTCTACGAGAGTCAAATCGCGCACCACAACAGTTTCAGCTAGCCTCTCAATCGATCCCTGTTCATAACCCACCATGTGTTGTTCAAATTATGAGCAATTTGCTTTAGCTGAGCCCAAGCGTCAAAATTGAGGTTGCCAGATTTTTATATCGCAAAGACTGTCATGATAATGTTCAGCGCGCGATGTGAATCATGTAGATCATTGAGCTTTAATGAGCGGGTGGTTTGAATTCACGCATCAGGAATCATTTTATATCATTGTAAGGAGTTGATTTCGGTCATTTTTGTTGTGCGCACCGTGTTTTACTTGAAATTTTGGTTAAAAAATATGTATCAGAATGCTTGAATTCGTACCTTGTTTAGTGGTCCATTTGTTCTTGATTTGCATTAAAATTAGACAAATTCATAGATGATTTAGATTTTGCATCATTAATGGTGTTTCCTTCTCGTCTTGATCATTGGTCTTTTGCAACCTCTTCTAACTTTTTTATTTGTCTCTTTTTTTTTTTTGTATCTCTTTTGTTTTGCCCAACTTGGCAATACCTCAATCCTAGTCTAGTCAATTTAGACAATTCCTCCAACATTGCTTGCTGTCTTGAGGGGCAAGATTTTTTCCTTTCTAAATATTATCATTCTACATCAGATTCATTTCTTAAAAATCACCTATTTACTGTAATTCAATAGCCAATTAACTCCCTCCTCCACCATGTTTTCCCCCCGAGGACTTTTCATTGTTGATTCAAACACAAACTCCTTATGAAGTTGCGGAATTTTCTTATTATATCTGTGACAGGTTATTATTTTTTAAATATATCGCCACAGGTCAAAATATTACCAAATTTTTTTGGTGAACAGGAAACTTATTCAATTATTAATGAACGTACTTTATTTCCATATTCTCAGCAACACCAGTCTGCTGTTAAAAGTCATTCTTTAGATCTTGAAAATGATGAGACTTACTAGGTTTCTAACTTGTCATTTACAAAATTAAAATTGCTTAAACGTTTTCTAGCCTGTAAATATCAAAGCAGATTAAAATTATTATAGTTTTTGATCAGTCAGGAAAATAATCTGTAAGATTCGATTGATAACGAAAAATTATTGCTTTTAATTATTTCCACGAATTATTGTTTTCTTCGTGCTGATTTTTTTAAATAAGACATTTAGGAACTTGTCAATTTTTTTTTGAAATTAAAAACATTGGAGGATTTTAGTATTAAGATTTTTTAGAAAGGGGAAAATGCAATGGTGCATTGTCACTGAAGCACTCACTGATTAATTTCTTTCACTTAGTGCTACATTTGCCTGTAAGTAATCTCTCTCAGATTTCATTTTTCATACTTCGTGTAGTGAACAGTGGAAACCAAAATATGAATACAAATTAAAATTTAGATCTTAAAAAATTACCCACCCTGAGTAATCAAAACTGTGAAATTAAAGTCTCCTAATCGAAGGTGCAAAACTACTTACGATGAAATCAAGATTAATGTTTTCTGGGAGAAATTATTTATTGCATTTTGATTTTATTGGCTCAACTGGGCCGGTGGGCCACTAGATGAGATCTGCACTATAAAAAAATTCGCATGTTTTCTCTTAAAAATCTTATGTTAAAAACTCAACGTGGAATTGGGAAGTCAACTCCAAACAAGATATAAACTAGTATTTTCAACACAGATCAAATGGAAGTTCAGACCATCGAATTACATCATTTTTATTTTTCCTTTTGACCTATGTTACTTGTAGACATTTTCATTTTTTTAGGAGTTGATTTCGAGACTTCTGATTGTGTGATTCGTTTTCCGCATAAAATTTCAAAGAGAGAGCATGTTTGCAAAGTACTGTCATTCATACCTTGTTCAGCAGCCAATTGTACTCATTGCACCACACTCATGATTAGTTCGATTAGGTGTATTAGTGACTGAGCTTTCAGTTTGCATGACGGAAAACTTTATGGCTTTTTAAATTGTCACCCAATTGAAATGCTTGCAAAATGAATGAAACATGTTCTTTCTGGAACCTTTTTTCTGAACCTCTCTTGTGGAGCCTTGTGGTTGGTTCCCTGCTTCTGCAGCCTGCACCTTCCATTATCTCTCTTTCTCTTCATGCAAATTTGAAGGACTTCAACCTCTCAAGCTGCTTCTTATGCTTTAAGTTATATGTATTTAGCATTTGGGACTTTAAAAGTTAGATAGCTCATTTTTCCAGCAAATGAGCAAACAAATTAAATAAAAATTTAATTTTTAAGACCCTTAAATATTTTCTAATTTGATGAAGAAACGCTTCGTTTTGCTTTTTGGGTTGTAGTTTACTCCCGTAAAAGTATGACTGGATGAGCTCCCATTTAAGTATAATTTCGTCGGTTTCAACAGAGAGGCTTTACATGTAGGGTATTTTAAGAAGCAAGTGAAGCCTGCCATAACTTTTTGCCTAATAGACCATGAGACAAGATATGGGTCCAAGTTTTCTGCAATTGTGTCCTCTTCAAATTTTGAAAAACTCAACGACTCAAAACTCTAAAAAACTCAACAGCTAAGCAGGAGCATCGAGATCAAGGTTGCCTTATTTTCAGAGACTGTTACGGTAACGTTTAGTGCACAATTTAATTCAAGTAGAGAGTGGGTTCTTTATAAGGGGGAAATTTGGATTGATACATCGAAAAACTTTAGTATCTTGGTTACGGGTTACATACTGCCAATAACTTTGCTGAAATAAATCATGTTCTATGTGAAATTTTGATCCAAAAATATGCATAATAATGCTTAAATTTGCATCTTGTCCAGTGGTCCATTCAGATACCGATGCGGAGTTTTTACACTCTTTTGTTTTTTCCTGGGGACTTCTGCAACTTCAGATCCTGCTGACCCTCTAGATAGTCAATGAGTTTTAACAAGTGAAAGCTTAAGAGAGTACTGCGTGACCTCAAGAGGTCATTTATCAGAGCCTATAATGTGCTCTACTTTTTTTAAGTTGATGTTCTAAGAAAAAACCATCGCCTAACAAATTGGAGACCTTTCATATCAGCTGAAGTGGCTCATCAATGCTTGTGTTTGAAGGTTTTTCAAGCCTAAGAAAGAAGGAAACGAAGTGTTCACACGAATTAGTAATTACTGGCCTTTATCATTAATATTCATGTAACTTGGTTTTGATCATAAGTTTGGTTATTTTAAATGAATCTCAGAGTAACTCATCATGCACTCAGCTGTGAAAACTATGAATGTGTTAATAACAAAAACGAGGTAATTCTTGAAGCAAATTCAATTTTGAATTAAACAGCAAAAAATGATGAGAGGCTTGCTGAGATGAATACAAACCCCTCGGATTTTTCATATTTTCTCCAAATTTTCTGTTTCCTCTTCTCTCTTTGACAAAGTTTTGTCCTAAATGAAACTGATATGAAGTAGCTAAGGGTAGTAACATCATGTATTGGAAGGAAATTATTTTCAAAGTTGGGCTCAGCTGGGTCATTAAAAATCCCCTAATGATTTTAAATCCATAGTTTATTCATTTATAATTTTGTTTACCCCCTTTGTATTTTTTGGTTTGTTTAGCTGTTTATTTGTTTTTTCATACTTGAAAATTAGTTTATTTTTTATTGATGCATGAGTTGTAGGTGTATGATTACTTTTGCATCTTCGCATCATTTGGTTCTCTTTATGATCTGTAGAAAATCTCCATTTACATAACTTAAGACTGATCAAACACAATTATATGTGTTGCTTCTTGCGCCTCAGTCTGTACTCAATGGCCCACTAAACAGGGTAAGAAATCAAGCACTACGCCACATGTTTTCTTGTCAAAATTTCATGCAGAATACACTGAATATATTGAGACAGTCCAAAATGAACTAAAAAAGGAGAAGTAACTGCTCGTAATATACATTATAAACTGCGAATTCAAATTTCCTGCTCATGCAAAAACCATGAATAAAGCTAGCCAAAGTAAGCATTGGAATCAACTTATATGCATTGTTTCACACATATTTTCTTCCTCTTCTGATATGAGGTACCTTTCACCTTATCAAAGAAACTTAGTGCCCAGGCGAATTTTTCGATCATGAAATATAATTGGTTTAATGCTTAATGTGATTGGATTAGATCCTAGTTTTTTTGTGAGCAGAAAATATGAATTAATGTAGACAAGAATCATAATTTTCTAACCTACGAGTTGAAATTGGAAAGTTTTGAATGCGTCCACTGTATCCCAAGGCAAATGTCGATGAGGAATTATTTATTGGGGTACTTGATTTCGTACCTACTGTTGTGGCCCATTGGTCTCTCTGGCATCAATGCAATCCGGAAAAATGCAATATTTACAGTTTTACTCAGAACATTCGAAAGAAAAAAAATTGCCATCTTCAGGCGAGCTCTGTTCCTTTTTAGATTGAAGATGGAGAAATAATATTTGTAAACGGCTGTTGCAAGCACAGGTCCTTCAGCAGTCCGAGATAGGTACACAGTGCAAAATAATTTTTTGCCTCTAAGTAACAAATGCATTTTGAAGTTTTTCAATTTAGATTTTCGAACTTGAAGAAAGTTGCATAAATGTATTCTTCAGTAACATCTTTAAATATGTGTGAGAATTTTATCAATGTCTTACATTAAGGCTTTATTTCTAGCAAGAGAGTGTATGTAAGTTTCATTTTTAGTTTCTTATGTCCCTCAGTTTGTTCCCAGAACTTCAGCTCTTATTTTAAAACAAATGCATTATAATTTTCGAATACGTTCTCCTCTCCCCCTTCCTTAAGAAATTGAAAAACTGTTGCTGATAATTTTGAAATAGGACGACAAAAGATATGTATATCCTTCCTCAAGAAATTGAAACAATTAAATTAGAACCAGGTATTGATCAATCCAATCAAGATTTTTTCTCATTTCCTATAACTAAAGCGATTTAAGCATTAAATGTCGAGTTTTTACCTCTAGTAAAGATGAGAAATTTCTAGTAGGTGGAGTAGGGAAGAAACCTTTTTTCTTGGTATCATTTCATAGTCAACGCATTTTATTCGTTAATCAAGGCATATCCTTCTTCTACTGTAATTTTGATTACCCAAAAGCTCTACCACTTGGTGGCAAATTAAAACTAGGACACTGTGCTGTGCTCTTCACATTTTTCTGTGAAAATTTCAATTATTACTCCTTTATCGCAAGGGTGTATTCCGAATATATGGGTGTATTCCTAATGTATGGAAGTTGTATGGATAACAGGGCTTAAGTGGGAATGGGGATACGCCCTTACACCAGAGGAGCAATTATTGAAATTGATAGACAAAGCTATAGGCAAAGAAGACATACGTAGTATGGAGCGCTTCTGTTGGTTGAAGAGGGTGGTTCCTGTAGACTAAGGGAGAAAATTTTGCACGAACTGTATGGTCCCTCGTGTGTTGCCTTTAGTTAGTCAATTACCTACCTCCTTTGTCCATTTCAACCACCCGCTTCCACCAATAGGATCCCTCCATACCCCTTTTGTCTACTTCGCCCTTAGCTTTGTCTATCAATTTTAATAATCGGCCCGCCGGGAAGCAATGAAATCTCTCTAAAACCTAATGTTTGTTTAATTAGCATTATCTTGTGATTTCAGGCCAACAAGTAGAGGCTCAGCAGGAACAAACCAGAATCAAAATGGCGGTCTACAGGTCGGTATAGCTGATGATCAAGCGAAAGACTTCGATTTTGAAAAGACTGAGATGAAGTACGACTCTACAGGCATGTTCCATTGGAGCCCTGCTAGAAACTTAGAAGACTGTATTCTTGTGAGTAATTTTAAGTAAATCAATAACACTTTGTAATGATGATATTCCATCACATTAAGCAACAAAATTTTAGTCTGAATTTGCTGATGGGTTAAGACAAGAAAATAAATAAAAGAAAAGAAGAAAATAAAATTGTATTTTTTACAATTATTTTATTTTATTATATTCAATTTATTTTCTTTACGAAGTCAAACTAATCAAAATAAATAAAATTACATTTTATTTTTTTTTATTAGTTCGACTTTTGAGAAACTATGGACAAAATCTCCACTTCTAGAGATTCAAATCAGAGAAAAGAGCACCCTTAAATTATTTATTCTCTCTCAAATGGCACCGGCTGAGGTTGCTGAGTCTACATGTTACACAAAAAATTCTGCAAAAATCTCACAAAAGAAGTGAAGAAAACTCCCACAAAATTTTGATAGAATCTGTAGATGGATTCTCTACAAGAAAATAAAACATGAGCGGAGACGTACAATGTTGCGATCTGACATACGCATTTCACAACTTTAGTCGTCAATATTTCTATTAATGATACTCAAACAGACCTTAAGAAATATCTGAAACTTAAAAATCTGAGCTACAGAATCTTGTTACATTGATTTTCATCATCAGTAAGTCATATCGAGTGTTCAACGGCACATCTTGTCCCATTAACAAATTATGCTATTTATTAAAATTATAATACTAATTATACTATTACAATCAACAAATTGACTTACAAATAAAGATTTAGGTTAGTCGCACTACTTACTTAAACATTGACAAGAAAGTTGTCTGTCGAGGAACAATGGAAATATCTCAAACATCAATGCCAAGATGGCCAGCAGCTTCAAATAATTGGTTTAAAAGTGGCCCAGCACAGCACAGACGGTTCAGAGCCGCCTCTTTTAGTCAGTGGGTCAAAGTAAAAAAAAATCATAATGGAAGTAAATTATTCTGGGACTCATGGTAAAACTCGAATTTAGTGAACTAAAAGGAGAAAAAGGGCAAAAATTTATTGCATTAAGAGCAACTCAGAATGTTGTGCATGAGGATGAAAAACGGTCGTCAAAGTAGTTTTTTTTTCTTGTTTTCCGAAACCCTTCAAGTTTGATTGCCCGCTTATTCTGGCAAGATCCTGTAATTGAAACTTTTGTCAAAAGTTGGTGTATCCCTGTTTTTTATTTTTTGTGTAACTTTTATGCTGCCTCTATTGTTTTTATCCAATGAGAGAGGGCAGAAGATACAGCAGACCATAATTTGTACCTGTTTTCTTTTTCCTAGGATCGAAATCAAGCGGCCATGACAGTGCTGAACGGTCATGTAGTTGTATGCTTATTTGCTGATCCAGATTCGCCACTAATTGGGCTCAGAAATCTAGTAATGCCTCTAAGAGCTTCCAATTTTCACTATCATGAGCTCAAACATGTTGTCATAGTGGGGGCAGTTGACTACATTCGTAGAGAATGGAAAATGCTCCAGAATTTACCAAAAATTTCCGTTCTCAATGTAAGTATGTTTTCTCTCAGTGCCCTTTCTTGAATTTTTAACATGAACAAATTTTTCCCCACAGAACAATAAAGTGTGTACCTTAAAAATAGGTAAAGTCAACATTATGATGAGCATTATTTTTACGAACCCATGAAGAAAAGGTTCTAACTCAAAGAATTGTTGAAATTCTCCCCAAATTTTGAAACAGCAACATTAATTTAAAATGTAGATTTCTAAATTATCTTTGACTTGGCATGTTTAATAGATGATGTTCAATAGATTACTGTAAATTCTGATCTAACTAACCATAATGAATATTTTACCTGTAATTATATTAGGGCTGAATGGAAAGTAATGTTAACTTTTAAATTATTTAAGGGCGGTCACAAATTTTTCTAAAAGCCAAAAAGTTAATGAAAGAAGGCGTAATTCCGCCTGGTTTGACCTCTGAAATGATTTATTATGACATAGTTACCGCCTAACCGGATACAGGGTTGCCAACGCCGGACAAGTTTTTTTATGCTGTTAGTGAAATTCTGATGTTCTACTCTTGAGCAAAAATTTCTTATCCTACTACTCTTCTTTAAATTACTTTTCCTCCCTTAAAAAAGAAGTTTATGAAATTTAAATCCTTTCTAGGGCTCACCGCTAAGTCGAGCTGACTTACGTGCTGTGAATGTAAACCTCTGTGATATGTGTGTGATTCTCTCTGCCAAAGTACCAAGTAATGATGATCCAACGCTTGCCGACAAAGAAGCTATTCTGGCATCTCTCAACATCAAAGCCATGACCTTCGATGATACGATAGGTGTTCTCAACCAAGGTTTGACTTATACTTTTAGAAATCATCTAATTTTAATCCCCTCTGCATAATACTCTATTACCTATTAATTGAGTCATCAGTATCAGAAGCCTCTATCATAATCTTCTCTTTGTTTTAGTATCTCATTATTTCTGGAACTTTTCAGCTCGATAAATTGAATCAGCCTACGCAGAAACAATCCTAGCCCATTTCTCTTTCTTTTTCTTTGCTCGGAGATCCCTGAGAGGGAGAGAGAGAGGGGGAGAGAGAGAGAGAGAGAGCAATCAACATATGAATACTCAGATGACAAATTTTTTTTAGGTCCAATGAAGAATCTTTTCTTCCACCAAATGACTAGATTTTGGTATACAGGGGTTTTTTAATGCTTATAGTCCTTTTCTGACCACATTAAAATAAAAGCTAAAAAGGGGGAGTTACAAAGGTCTTAATTTCGAAAGGAAGTCATGGAGGGATTTTCAAAATCTGAGACCCTTGTCAACCCTCTATTCTCTTCTATTTTTACTTTTGCTGGGCCAGAAGTACACAGCCTCTAATTACATGTTTGAACCCAATCATTCCCACAAAGACTCAAGCACTAGAAATGAAAGCACAAGATAAACGATAGAACTTTGATTAAGTAGCCCGTTTTAAATTTCAGGTTAAATAATAATGTGATTGTGTTATCAATAATTCATTTTAACACCTCAGAGATTTAGAATGGGTCAATTTAAACTGTTTTTACTGTATTTTCATTTTTGGTGCTCGCGTCTCTTTGAGTTTCCTTTTGAAAACTTTAAGATGTTTATCCTCCTTATATTGCTCAAAGGAGAAAAATGTTTAAGATGAAAACAATTTCAATTCAGCTCTTAGAACCGATCCTTTTAGTAAGCGTAATTTGACTTGGGATATCCTGTATGTCAAACCAATGATAAAACATCAAACTTACCCTTAAGCTTTTTAAGTTTTCAGAGGATGAAAAGGTTGAATTTTAGTTTGGATCCTGCCTAGTTAATCCGACAGGTTGTCCTAAAGGGATGTTTCGCTCTAGCATACATCTTTCACTTACTGTTACCCTGATTTGGAACAATTTCAATTTTTAGATGAGTCGGGAGTTGTTAGTGTTCAAAATCAACAAGAAAATCTTGGAACAAGTGGTCCAATTGTTCTGCAGAGGAGAGGATCTGTTTATGGAGCTAATGTGCCTATGATTACAGGTTCGTACACACGTATCCAATTTATTGTTCTATCCACTAATTCTGGCCTTTTGTTTCAGTGTTAAGTTTTCATTTTCCGATGTTCTTAAATTTGTTTTAAATCTACGCAAAGAACTGGATGAGGAGATTAATTTTTAATCTCTGTTTTGATTCCACCCTGCGATCATCAGTTCTTAATCTTTTGAAATGAAGTTCAACAGACACACGATACAACAGCTCCCTTTCCTCCAACCCAAAACTTCAGAATAAAAGCCAACTCAGTGTTTCAAGATCTTTTACTCAAATGATGGTGAAACTGTAGGAACAAGTATCTGGTTTGCTATGGTGTAGAGTTCCTGCTATACTTCATTTTTGAAATGAAAAAATGCTCAATGTAATTTATCAAAGACTGCTCTGATTTTTTTCCCCTCCGGGAAGAATATTCTGTGCAAATTTCACACAATAGCATTGGTTTTTTCTCCTCAGATGAATTAAAATGGGAGCAGAGATTTTGAAAGACCGCGAACAAAGTACGCGTCTCTGCAGTTTTACCATCAATATCCACCATTTGAATTCTTGATACTCGTTGGTCCGATCTATTTCTAACATTGAGGAATGCATTAATTTGTGATCCAGCAAAGCAAGCATGACACTGGATTTCTCAGTACACGTTTCTCCTTTTTTTTGCAGAGCTTGTGAATGACAGCAATGTGCAGTTTTTAGATCAAGATGATGATGATGATCCTGATACCGAACTGTATTTGACGCAACCATTTGCTTGCGGTACTGCCTTTGCCGTCAGTGTTTTAGATTCATTGATGTCAACTGTAAGTGAAACCTCTTCATTACCTCATGAATACGTACAATTTGTTTTTTCTACATATTTTATTTTCAAAAATGTTGATTAGTAATCTGTTTTTTGGTGAAATCCTAAGAAGTCTAATTCTTTTAGGAATGCAACATGATATGCATGTCTGTATATCTCTCTTAAAATTGTACTTTCATGTAAGAAAACGGATCATAATCATTCCTGAAAAGTTTTTTTTAAGATTCCTCCACCTGATCAACAATACATGACCTTGAAACATTATTTATTTATTTTTTATTTTCCAAATTTATACATGAGAAGCTCCCAACTGGTAGAAATAAATACATGTAAAAAAACATAAGATAATTGGATTGACCAGAGCACTAAAAAATACCAAAAGGTCTTAAATTTTTAGAGTATGATAATTCAATTGCATCAGCTAGTGCTAAAAGTTGGGGCTAACAAGTTTTGTGATGCTGTAAAAGGAATTTTTTATCAAGTATGCCTCAAGTAATGATAAAAAGAAATTTACATTAGATAGCTTAAAGGGATCCTTTATGGTAAGAGAGAGAGAGCATTAAACAACTGTATAGCAGAGTACCTCACATTACTTGCAGAAACTGAGCTAGTGATATTATAATTTTTAATGCAGTTGTTTCCGGTAACATATCAATGTTTGGGGAGCGAATCTGAGGGACTGATGAGTTTATTGTTGACAGCAAACTTAAGAACTTCAAGCACATATAAAGAAAGAACAGTTATTATTTCAAATTTCCTGAATAGTGCTCGGACAGCTTTTTTCTGCTTGATAAGTGAAGATTCGGCATAAGTTTTTCTGCCTCAGATTATAATGCCATATCTGAAGTGGGACATGATATTGGCATGAAAAAATATTAAGGCCGTGTCTAGAGATGCTATTTTTACTAAGTTACTGAGTGCCCCTACTTGCCTCTAAATTTTACTATTTTAACTATCAATAGGTGTATCCACTTAAGTTTGCTGTTATTGATAATCCCAGAAATGTACAAATGTCGGTTATACTTGGAGGAATTGAAAAGCAAATAGAAGTAGTACTGACTTGGCAATCAAGTTTTTTGAGCAGAAGCTGTTAATGTCTCTTTTATGGAATATTTATTTCAAAATTGATTCAGGGAAGAAATTTCTATCATCTGGGTATGATTTATGGCAGAATTAGAAGCCAAGAGAATGATCTAAAATCATGGATTCTGAGTATGAAGTATATCGATCTAGCGTGTGCAAGTTGTAGGTGACCCTCTCAATCCCTCTGTTAGTTGCTTGCGCCTATCAGGAGGTGTGGCTGGCTGCCCATTCCTGGCATATGCAAGCAGTAGTTGCCGGAACTCGGTTTTCTCCCTGCTTTTGAAGCAAAATAAATTATAAAGTATGCAGTATGAAGAGTAAAAAGTATAAAATATGGAATAATGAGTGACGCTTAAAGGCTGATGAGGATGGGCAGCATCTTACGTGCGTCTGGTAAACTAAAGCAGGTGAAGGGAAGTTTCAAATGTTTGAACATAAACCATGAAGTACGAACTTCAATAGATACAGTCCATGTATTGATAAGTTACAAAAAGCAAACTCTCATCTGACTTAATTTTTTTATTGCAGACATATTTCAATCAGAATGCACTCACGCTTATCAGATCCCTGATTACGGGCGGGGCAACTCCTGAACTTGAGTTGATCTTGGCAGAGGGAGCTGGTCTTCGTGGTGGTTACAGGTATGTAAAAATTTCGGAGGTCTTTCCTATACCAATCAGCAATCTTTGTCTCCATTCAAACAAATCGCCGTTTCAAATGAATATCCCTGAATAATGCACTGTATTTATCCACATATTTTGCCCCCTGCTCCCACTCCGTATCCCATATTTTTGGCGAAAAAATTGGTAAAAAATGCGGGGAAATGTTATAAAAAAAAAGAGGAAAATTATATGGTTTAAGGGGCATATTTTCACATTATGATATCTACTGTCTTTGAATTCTTGATCATGAAGCTGTCTGTCATGTGTTGCTGCTGTCAAGATGGTAAAATCGTCAACCTCTCTGTCATTTGGACCTCTAACTTTTGCGTCATCCAGGTTGCTGATTTCCTTGTTGTCCAAATAGCTGATCTCCGTCTTGTGTGGATCACCCATTGCAAGATCAAACAATAAAGCGTAAAGAAAACATCAGAATCGAAAGATGATATAAAATGTTACACGTAATTGTGATCTAGATTTATCTAGGTTTCATCTAAACTGCATCTAGATTCACTAGTCGTTACAGGAGATGGTCATGTAGTGAGATTGTTGACAAGAAAAGAGAAGGAAGAGTCAATATTAAGTGGTGTAAGAATTCTTAGTCATTTGGCAACTTCAGCACTTTGCTGACGCATGGATCCTGCTCTGGCGCGGAACTTTTTGGTTGCCTAACTTTCCATTCCTGGAGGAAAATTACACATGTATTTGGCACACCCTGATTTTTGGCTTCTTTTTCAGGCCAAAAAGCTTTCATAACACAAGGGTAAATATGGCAATTTTAACTTGTTCAAATGTTCTTTTTTTATTAAAATGTCAGAGGCTTTTATTACTGCCTTTTTCAATAATCAAATTGGCTCCCCCAAACTCATTGAAATTGACCAAAATCGTTTCTTTTTTTCAGCACTGCCGACAGTCTTTCAAATCGAGATCGTTGCAGAGTAGGCCAGATATCTCTTTTTGATGGGCCTCTAGCACAGTTTGGTGAAGCTGGAAAGTATGGTGACTTGTTTGTGTCTGCTTTGAAGTCATACGGAATGCTTTGTATAGGTCTTTATAGGTGAGTGTGACTCAGGGATGAAATATTTTTGTCGATTGTCTGCAAAATATTGTTTTTTATGTAAATCTTCTGGATCAGTTCAAAATTTCAAAGGGTTTGTTTTCATTTGAATATGAATAAACAAATTATCATGGAGCCTTCAGTCCCACTTTTACACCTCCGTGGAAGACTTAGTGGGCTTTTTCAAGGAGGTCCTGAGATTTCTATCTTGGCTAAATTTATTGGCAAAATTGCTGTGCTTCATATGAAAATCGCCTCCATAGCAGTAAAAGCACTTTAAAGTCTGCCAATAGCTCAGAAGATAAGTCTTAAACAAAACAAAAAATTTAAAAAAAAACTCTTTAAAAAGCATAACCGTTGCCATGTGTTCCATAACTTCCACTTGCTTCCTAATGCAATGTTTTGACTACGCATTCCATGTATTAATGTATGTGTTAAGCTGAAGTGTGTATAATTATGAGCTAGCCTCCCCCCCTGCTCCCCCAACCTCATCTCCTAAAAGTGATGGGGCATTTTGGATCTTAATTTTATCTCAGCATACAATGGTTCTTGTGTACGATACCTCATTCAATCATAAGTTTTTCTGGAAAGTTGATAAATTAAAGTTCAGATTAGATTTTGGGCACCGTCGAGGGTCATAATAGATTTTTGATCTTAAACTCACATTGCAAGTCTAAAATTACTTGATTGTAGACATCAATATTTTTTCGGTGCCTTATTCTCAAATTTGACCACTTTAGAAGCCATTTTTGGGGGGTTGAAAGAGAATGACCTGAAGACTCCTTGGAGGTGTATTAGCATATTTGACCTCAAAACATCTCACAATCTAATAAACTGGGTGAAACATAGTGCATGGGTAGAGCACTGGGGTAGTGCTATAGTGCATTTTGGGCCCCTACGCAGAAACTACCTATCATTCTTCATTTAAAGTCCAGGAACTAAACAATGTTCACCACCGAATTTCACAGTCTGCAAAGGAAGGCAGATCTAAAAGAGATGGGTGCAGGCATACATATTTTAGAATTAAAAAAATCTGTTTCTGGACATTCCTAAAAGGAAAGATGGTTTTTACACACCCTCATCATCTCAACTCCACCAAATACTTTATTTTGACCTTTTCTTTACAGGTTTCGTGATACTAGCTCCTCCTGTGATGCCTCAACTAAAAGATACGTCATCACCAATCCGCCTGATGACTTCTCGCTACTGCCAACTGATCAAGTAAGTATGCTTTACACTCCATACGATTCTTATCTTCATCCGAAAAGCAAATTTCGAAACAAAATGTACAAACCTCTTTGGTTGAAGCACCTCCCTGTGTATGGGAACTAAGGGCACCTATATTGTTTCTACAGAGAGCCCGATATAGTAGTTCCTCATGGAAAAATGTGGTTCAATTAATTTTCAATAGTTGATTTGACCAGTGTCGATTTTGGCTTTTTTGTGAGTGGAAAATTTGAATTGACCTATCGTAATGAAGATTACAAAGGTTTATCTCTGCCTTTCTAGTTGATTTTAGAAATCTGGAATATGCTTATCTACGTCAAAATTTGACAAAAAAATTATTCTTGCTGAACTCTAATTGGATTACAGTTTGCCAGCAAGGTGCATCCTCAAAAGCACCTATTTGCATAGGGAATTTAGTGGTACATAATGTTTCCCATTTTAGCCGAAAATGTCAATTTCCTATCGCAAAGTGTAGCCCAATCTTACCTTCATCGGCTGATCTGAGTCTTATTAATTGGGCTCCACAAATTCATACCAAACTCTTCTAATGATCACGGCACATCAAATTCAATCAAGCCATCAAATAGAAGGAAAGGATTTGTTAGGCGCAAATTTTTGACGTTTCCTACTGTTTGATACTTTAATTCTCTATAATTTTTCAGGTATTTGTTCTAATGCAATTTGACCCGGGTCTTGAGTACAAGCCAACCAACCGTATTGGCACAACTGCAACTAGCGCTGGGACTGCAGGAAGAGGGAAGGATGAAAACTCCTGACTATTGCTTTGTAGCGCTCTCACGGACGGACCTTACTCTTACATCTAAACTTTCTCTCAACAAAGCATCGATAGATCCCCCAACAACTGACAGCAGTTTTGTATTTTTTTTCTCTTTTTATTTTTCCGTGAATGACACGGTTTTCATTCTGAGTCTTAGTTAATTTTTATTCCTCTTTGTTTTTATACTTGTTGTTTTAAGCTACCTCTTCTTGATTTTTTTACTATTAGCATGAAATGAGCTGCAGAGCATCATGCTAAAATTCATAACAAGCATGAAGGCCTCCTTCAAGCAGCCAAAGTTCAGCCTTCAAGTTCGCCTAGTCAATCTTATTACCTGTGCATCCCCTTTCAGGGATCATGTTTTTGAATCTTTGCCATCTCAAATCAACGAATCAGTTTGGCGAGTTATGAAATTTTGTTTGTCACGTTACAGTGACTTTTCTTTCTTCTTTCTTTCAAAATATATTGTTTGTGTTACTTTAGTCTTGCTTTTAGGTTTTGATTTTTGTTCTTGTATGGATTCGTTTATTTTATGCTGTCGTAAAATGATTTTCGAGAAAGTCTAGATTACTGTTCATGGTAAGGCCTCTGTAGAGTCGCTACACTCTCTTATAAAATAAGTGATAAAACTTCATATGTTTATAGATTTTCCTTGTTTTTTTATCGCGTAGGTTTCATTTGAAAGTTGTCAAATTGAGATACTCCTTCAAAGCACCTTGCTCTTCTCCTAACTAAACTAACTGTTTTTCCTAGTGACGTTAATATTTTTCATTGTTTCATCAAGATTTTCTTCAAAATTAGCAGCATAGCCTGAAGTTTTGGCATCTTGTTTGTATTTTCTTTATTTTTGTGGAGCAAATCTTAAGATTTTAAATGTATATCTTTAAATCCAAGTTAAACAAAGAAACTTTATATTATTTTTTATTACAGAAAATAAGTATTCAAGCCATGGACTGTAACTCAATGCGACAACTGAAATCAAATTATGTAAACTTATTCATTTAGTAGGTTTGAGAAAATTTGTCATTCTAACCTAGGAAGCTACGCGATAAATGCCAAATTATATTTTTATAAAATCCTGCTCTGTGCTATTTTTATATGAGTTTCATGTCCCTGCTCTAAATAAAACTATCTTTGTGTACTCGGGTCCTGAAATATGATTATGATAATCAAGAATATTTAAGAATGAAAATGGCCAAGTATACTCCATAAACTCAGGACTTAACCTTTATCTAGCTTTTGAATTTTCTTCTTTTTTTAATTTGATCAACAGTTTAAAGTTTGCAAAATTGTAATCAAATTAGCTGGGCATATCTTTGACTCAGATCCTTTGTACCATATTTAATTCAGCTTGAATATTTTTATTGAGAATTCTACTGGACGCCCAGTTTAAGTTCTAAGAGTGTTATTTGTCTAGCCTTATCAATCGTCATCTGATACGGTTTAGCAGGTATTCAATCAAAGTATCTACTCATAACAATGTATCTTTCACAACATTTTTTGGAAATTGTGAGTTTATTAGATTTTAAAATTTCATGTTTTTATACAGGAGTTTAGCTTTTTTAGATTTTTGGAAACACTGATTGCAGTTCCCGATCATTAAATAAATATTTCAGTGTGTTTTTATTTACAGTGGAGGCCTTTTTACTGAGATTTATATTTACCACAATGCAATTATGCCATTCAAGTCCTATTGTTAGCTTTACCTTGTCCAAAATTTATAAGCTTTTTAAACAAAATTGTTTAGAAGGTTTTACTCATGCTTGCTTTACATGCCGAAAAAGTAATCACAGATTTGCTGTTGACCCAATTTGAAGTTTTTAAGTCAGATTTCAATTGTAACTGACCATAGATAAATTGAATGAGCCACTGCCCCTGTTAATATTGATAACCTCCTTTTTTACACTTTTCCACCCTGATAACAATCCAAAATCGAGCAAATCATTGATGTTTTGCTCATTCCTCCTGGAAAGTATATTTTGTTGTTGTTGCGCTCTTTAGATGACCTAGGCAGCCTCTTTTCAAATCTACATGAGCTTCTTGGTTCATTGTCTAGCTGGAAGGTTAAAATTCTCCTTTTTTAAAGCAATCGCTCTTTGTAATTGTACATTTTTATAGGAGTCCATGGAATGAAATTTTCTTGGGGGTCATTAATCAAAAGGCACCTGAAAATTTCAAAAATTTATCTTTTTAAGGGAATTTTTTAGGTCACAGGGGAAGGGGTCTAGACTCCCTCACTAGGCTTTCAGACATGAACTAAGTTAGCTTTTTTAAGGGAAATTTTCTGGTTATAGGGGATCGGGTCTGGACCCTCTTATCATGCCTTTAAATCTGTACAAGCTCAGAGGTCAACATTTCAAACTTGATAATTACAAACCTGCGATTTTTCAAAATTATCTATTTTTAGTAAACAACAAAAATATTACTTCTAACCGAGAACTCATTAATTTCAATTTCGCCATAATATTTTTGAGACCGTTAACAGTGTATGCGACAGTTAATTCTGCCTCCTCATTTGTACTCCTCCGAAGTTCTAAAGCCTCTGTTTCTCCTTTGAAACATTCTAAACACCAAACATTGATTATCGAAATTAGCTTTTGACTAACCAAATGTTTCATGTTCTAAGAATTGTTTTTGTATCATGATTATTATTGTTGTAAAGTCTTGCACACTTTTTATACTTAACCAACCTATTGTATATATTTTTATTAGTAATGTGTCTTTTGTACATGTGTATAAAATTAGAGATAAATCACAGATTTTACCCAAGTTTCAAAGTAAAATCAACAAGTCTAGTCACAATAGCTAAGACCATTCTTAGCTCATTTGTCCTATGGCATTGGCGTTGGCAATGAAAATGTGTGAAAGATAGCTGTTTTGACTGGTCTGTTGTGCCTATATTTTCCAGTTCAGCATCTCATACGCCAATAGGTCAAAGTTTTATAAATCATTCTTACAGCCAGTGCAATTAAACTAAATAGAGGGGGAAAAACCGCCAATTTTGGGCGCCTAAAGATCTGCAATATCTAATTTGGGCAATGGTCCAATATCCTTAGACTGGGGAAATAATGGTATTGTTACCATTGTTTCTGTCATACCTTGGTCTCTCTCAGCCAGTCCGATCATTGTCAACATGTCCCCTTGAGTACTTGCAGGAAATAACTGCGGACCAATTTCTCAACATTAGTAGAATCTTTCGTTATTTCCACAGATTTTAATTCAGCTTGTAATCCTAAATAAATAAGTAAAATCACATTGTTGGTAACTTACTATACCACAACATCCGCGAATTTTGTCAGTGCTTCTTGAAAGTTTTTCGGAAGTTTTGTAGTACAGTAACTCATCCGTATACTCACCTATAACTATATTTATATTAATCATCAGAATCAATGAAGGAAGATTGTACTACTGTTAAAAAAATGTTTGGCAATTTTTTTCTCATCAGTAGCCAGTGGGAAATTTTGAAATGGGAAGGTTGACATGGTAGGGAGAGACCCTGCAATGTTACAATGGAAACCATACCTTGATGAGCTGGGGCCGGGACTTGGAGGTCATCAGCAAAATCAAAAGTTACAATGCTTGGCACGTCTGAAAATGCCCTGCATTCTTCTGTGTCCAATTTCATTGCACAGACAATAGTTCAGGGTTTTCAGTTTATTTCCCTCTATTGGACCCAAGAGCCATAAACAAAATTGCCCTTTTTTTTGGCCCTCAAAATTAGGGTCCTAGGAAAATCGGGGACTATCCCCCCTCCCCCCTGCATATCTTAAAAACGGTTTGTATACTCAAATTGAAATTTTAGGATGTGTAAAGAGTCATTCTAAGGATAAAAAAAAACTTCGCATGGATCTCAATTTCGAGGGTCAAGAAACGGGCAATTTTTGCCCCTTTTGGAGCAAGGCTCTTAGTAATTTTTTTTATCACATTTTGAATAATATTTCTCCTCTTAAAGTGATTTCTTGAAACAGTGTCTGCTGGCTAGCTTTAAATCCTGCGAACAGAATTCCCTTTTTTGTTTTTCTCGGAGTTTATGTTAGTTGACTAAGTCTTTCCGTACTCAATACTATAAAATCTGAAAATTATCTAAGTGTCGCCTACTACCAGGATTTAATATGATTATAAGGATTTAATTGTCTGTTGGGTATTCTTAATACTTGGTGCTCATGGGTCAAATATTGGAAAAAAAAAACTAAATAACTAGTCACATTTAATTAAAATATTGTTTTTTAATAGGGAAAGTTTTACTTTTATTTTAAGACTCCTCCTCTTCATGCAAGTCTCCTAAAATTATCTTCCAAGATATGATAGATATCAAGATTCCAAGATATCTTCCTTTCTTTTATATTTTCCCATTCTGGATGCGTGGAAAAATTGAGTGAGATTTGATAAAGTTTGGAAATTCTTGTTTGTGCTAGTTTCTGTAGGAATAACATTTGTTGCAGCTTTGAAAAAATTATTTACAATGTGATTTTAAAAATAATCTCTATGGCTAATAGTAGGGGTGTTCAAACGAATTCTTGCCGGAACACTATCGACATCGTCTCTTATTGAAACTGGCGGCAGTACCGACAGTGGCCATGATATCGACAACAGCCGGCCTTATCGGAATTTTGAGAGCTCGCACTAAATACATTGTTGCCCCGTGTGTCGGTTTATCAGATTGCCTGGCGCGGCGGCGCGTAAAATAGATGTACAATTGGCAACAGCTTATTTTCGCCAGCTCCGAAAACTCTGATCGCTATCGGCAAGAGCGCTCTTATCGTAACTTTTTCTTAACGGAACTGTTTCGGTGGCTTACCGACAACCGATTGAACAGCCCTAGCTAATAGCTGATGACTCATCAACCATGTATAAGCTCATCCGTGTATTTTGTTGATAAGCATAAGATCATGCTAAGTTAAAGACACTCACAATAATGTTACTTATCAGCGACTTCTTGCGGAGTTGAACCAGTTTTGTAAATATTTTGAACACATTTCTTCATTTTGTACCCTTCTCATTTCTGTAATGTTTTTTATTTGTTTATGGATTTTTTATCATCACCACTTTCAAGTGATTTTATTATGATAAATTTTGTTTCACATTTGTGTCTTCAAGCAATCACCTGTTAAATAAAGTTAATGCATGGAAAAAGAATCGATACTTTTTCTGTCCAAAAATATCTTTTTAGTAAATAGAGTTCCAGTATGAGTATGATGAAAATCATTTGAAGGATGTTTTTTCATTCTGGGCATCTTGGACAGAGGTCAATGACAGAAGTGGGTACAGACATTTTCGTTACCAATTCTTCAAAAGGTGGTTTTTGAAAGTTTACTTCAAAGAGTGTTTTAAGTCGTATTTTTTGATGAAGTATGCAAACACATTAAATGTACAATTTGTTTTTCATTTTTTAAATTTTTGAGATGAACTTGCGCACTTGTGTGAACTTGTGAAGAGACTGCATTTAGTTCACTGGAATATTTCTGGATATTTTCTTTGACAATATTAACCCCTTAAAAACAAATTCAAAGTTGCATATTTTGAGCTTCAACTTGAACAGGAATTGCCGAGATAATCAACATAGCGTCTGAAATTATCCATCCCATAACTAGTACACATTTGATTGCACAACCCTTCCTGTCACGATCACTGTTCCAAGCAATGTTACGTTAATAACAGCTGCTTAAACGAGGGATGTTTATTAAACTAGAGGGCAGGAGGGAGCAGGAGTGCGAAAAAAGTTACGCCATTTCAACTTAAAAAATCAGTGTAAAACTACGTGCAACCTGCAAAAATCATCATAGGTATGACTGTGTAAACCAATAAGTGTGGCTCCATTTATCAAGAATGAGCAGAAACAAGAAAAAAAAATAGTTGCAAAATTGGGCGACAATAACACTTGTCAATGCTAGTTTTGCTGATGTGCACTTAACAAAACGTTCCGTCAAAGCATGGCGGTGAGTTGAGACGCTAACAGAGAGTAGGAGGTAATCATTTTTTTTTTAACTTTTTGCTCTCGCAATCATGTCACTTTCATATGTTATGATTTACAAAAAGTCTTATGTGCATGACCCTCGCTAATGAAAATTGCTAGAATAGGTGCTAAGGGAGACTTTCCTGGAAACCCATTTATAGATCTTGACAGTGAAAATGCAAAAATGCATTCCTCAATTTGTGATGCTATAAATTTCCTGTCATAATTGATTTTTTAAAAGAAGATTTACGTAATGTTGGTTCTTGAAAACTCATCTGCCTTTTCTTCTCTAGGTGAAGAATCTTCAGTGAAAATAGGAAGTAATAAAATTAGTTATTTCTGCTTTGATATACTAAAATATGAGATAAGATATTAAAACACTGCTAACAAGATACGCATTTTTGCAGCACTGTCAATATAACACATGAAAGATGAAAAAAAAAATCCTAAAATACCACTTAGTTCGGGGGGACAAAAATCACGATTATGGCATTTTCCAAGTTTATTAACAGAAAGTTGCAAATTACAGAGTGCAATTAGAATGGAACTTAAAATAAAAAGGACTCAGGACAGTAACAAGAAATGAACGCCACACTGTTTTTTATCCTAATTGGTTTTGGTCCCCTTTTTGGAACAATTTCTTGGAAATGGTCTATGCTGCGCTTGATAAAGTCAATAAATCATAACAAGTTTGATATCAGTGCTTTAGTGCCTTAGATTCTCTTAAAATGCTAAAGATGTCAAATTTAAATTGCCTTTTCATTTTATTAGATTTACCTAGACTTTCCAGAAATATACTTCTTGCCTTAAGACAACTTTTCAGATGCAAACTTAATGATAGAGGTACAACTGTCTGCTTAGAATAAAGTCATGATCCTCAAACGAGATTTATATGATGAATAGATTTCTCACTTTTTTTTTTTTTTTTTTTTTTTTTTTTAGATTCATATAACCAGAGATCTGTAAAAATACATTAGAGCAGATACCTTAAGCTTTTCAAAAAGGTGAATACTAAACACATTGAAAATTGGCCTTCACATGAAGACGATAAGGTTTTTCTACGCAAACCTGATCACTATTTGTGTCCAAATCAAGTCATCGACCAATAATATTTTGGCTGCCTTTGAAAATGAAGGAGGAATAAGAATTGAAACCCGTATGTAGTGAATGAACGGGGTATGTAAGATTTTTTGGGGCAAGTCTTTACAAGAGGTTTCATGTTTCAAGCATTTAATTTCTACCAATGCAAACTGAAAATTAACTTCTACCTCCCCAAAATTGACTACCACAACTAAGGAACCTAGTAGCAAACCTGTATATCTATCAACTTAGTCACAAGACTCCCTCAGGAAACTGGAATAAAATTCGTTTAAGGAACTTGTTACTAGGGACCATTAACTCCGGAAAAATGTCTAGTGGGGACAAGCCCTTGAGAAAAGATAAGATTTTAAACAAGACTTATTTCAAAGATTTTCTTCTGGAAACAACTGACTTCAAAGGCTCAATTTCTGGCTTTGTCATTTAGTGTAAATTTCTCATGAGCCTCAGAAGTCTGTGTCAGTTGAAAATTTGAATTTGCTTTTTTTTCATTCATCAAAGGAATCATTCTTGTGCGATTTTTATCTGCATTTTACTTCCTTCTTCTAAGAAGAGTTTGAGACTGCATTCGTTCTTCATTACGATGGTGAGGCTGCTAGAAGCAAAGGTCCTTGTGTAAATAACAAGTTTAAGAACCAAATATCTAGACTAAGCTTGAAAACAGCAAGTTGAAGAGGAAACAAAAAAATCTATTTACACGATCAGTTGATAAAAAAATGTAAAAAACCTTCAGACTCCACACTTAAGAACTATCCTTTTCCCTTGACCTGTCTCTGGACCTATCCCTTGATCGCTCAGACTTTTTGGACTTCTTTTTCTTGTGGCTCCTGTGTGAGGGAGAACGACTTTTTGACTTCCGTTTCCTTGACCTGCGTTCATGACTTCTACTCCTCGACCGATGCCTTTGAGACCTTTCCCGGTATCGGTCCTTTTCGCGTTCTCTGCTGGACGATGATGCACCGTCAGCTGGCTCTTTTTTCACTTGGACAGTTCCTGGCGGCAAGTTTTCTTCAGACTTGATATCCTGTAGGACATAAAGTAAAAGCCATTAGCTCAAGGTATGATCAAAGTTGCTAACATGCTTCGTTTAAGGTCTCTGCAATCTATAAATTATCTATTTCGGAAATGATCAAGATAAAAGGTCATCAAATTAACTTGGTTTTTGAATTACGTATTTGATTCCAACCAAGAAAATCGTGACTGAAGCCATTAACGATTTGCAAGAAAATCTACAGGAAACCTTATTATCTGATGAGCCTTGTAAAGTATTATGTATGAATATTTCATACAATATGACTAGTAAACCTTCCATAATTGTGTCAGAAATATTTTGATGAAGTAATGCAAGAGACTTACATTTTCTAAACATCTCGGCAGTTTTTTTCTTTTCTTTCTTTTTAAATTTCAATTAATTTTAGGACACCTTACAGAGACAAATATTGGGGGTTGATTTTAAGAGTAGTGTTACCAGGAGATGAAAATTTTTGACTAGGTGTCACTTTATTCAGGAAGAGGTGATTTGAGAGTATCATCAGTGCTGACACATCTTCATATAAAAAGCTCTGGGCAAGATTGCTACACAACATAAAAAAAAAAACAGAAGGCGGTGGTCATTATTTCGATCGCATCTATTTACTTTACAAGAAACGACTCCTTTTCTTCGTCCACAAGCTCTTAGATTCCCTGTTTGAGCTTTTTTTGCTCTTCTCTCTTGCTGATTGCATCTTCATACAATATCAAGATTACACACCGTCAAAATTAAAGTGCCCACCTTCTTTAGTTTTTCTTTATGCTATACAACTGTTATAACTCCTGAGAGAGGGGAGTAGTTTTTTAAATTAAGAGCACAATGGTCTCACCACTGGTGTCGTGCCTGGCGGAGGAATATTCTTGACACTGACAGGGGGAACCCATCCAGCCTGGTTCCACTGAGAGTCTTGAGTTGGCTCATACGAGTTGTGGAGGTAATAAGAATCTACCTCAGGAGGCTGGAAGTAGTTGCCTGAATATTCCCTCGGTGGTGGCGGAGGAGGATACCTGCACAAAAAATATATATATAATGAGTATCTTATTTTTCTTGAGTATTTTTTTTCATCATTCTGAGTATTCTTATTTACTCGATGAGTATATATTAATTAATACCATGATAAAGTGTGTTCATTCAAAATAGAGCTTGCAAGTGGAAGACGACCGATGATGATTGACAGGTTATTTATATTCAGATTAGGAGCACACGGACTCTTGTGCTTTCTTCATCACAGATACATGTACTATCCGTTTTCTAGCAAATTGACAATATGAGAGCGCGTACAAAAAAAGAATGAAAAACAAATGACAGGAGCATGGGAAGCTTTGTTCTTCAGGTATTTATACTTCAATTGACTAAAATGGAAATTTTTTACTGAAATGGAATTTTTCTATTCACTATTCCAAAAGTTACTCAGAGCATTGAATCCCAAACCAGACTCATGTTTAGTTTGATTGAGTGAGCAGCACTGATATTTTTTGAAACTTTAAGTTCAAAAATTTCTCAACGTTCCCGTCTTTTTCAAAAAATTCCCTGACTTTTTCCTTCACCTGATGAAATTCCCAGACATCCTCGGTTTTCCATACTTGTCAACACACTGTAATACAGAGAAAAATCTAGGAGGGTTTCTATGCATTCCACTGTTTATTTCTCTATGAAAAAATTTGATACGAAAAGAAAGTAGTTGATATGAAATGCAACTAGGTTGACTCCGAATAAATCGGTCCATTCCATCTCCTATGCTTGATATGGACAATGAGCTTGATACTTACCCAGCTGGTGGGGGTGGGACTCCATACTGTGGGGGAGGCACAACTGGAGGAGGGATGCTAGGCGGAGGGGCCGACATATCGCCGAGGTGTTTTCTGCTGTATTCTCTCCTATCAGCTGTCATAACCTGAAAAGAAGAGACACATGAATTTATTGAATTGTTAAAATGATGGACTGTTAGACAAGGTGAGAAATGAAGTATTATAGGGCATTTTTCCTTAAAGAAGTTTTGTGTAAAATAAGACGGACGTGCTTGTTTTCATGCTTAACTTGCAAGTCAGTGATTAATGCTGCCAAACTTTACAAAGGCACCATGGAATATTTTTTATTATTTGAGCAAGAGAAAAAGATTGTGAAATTTGCTGACTATCTATCCTTCAAAATCAGCCCCTACACACTTGAGTCGTGTCTTGCATTTTTTTTTATACATGAGATCGATATTTCAAGAATTGTTGAAACTGAGCAGATGCTACAAAATCATTCTTGCTATTCAGGAAAAAATGAGAAAATATTTCTCATTCGCAAGTAACTTCACAGGATTTTTCAGGCCACCATTAATCTCCTCCTTAAAACTATTAGAAACAACCATCTTCCACTGAGCTGAACTAAATCATTCCCTTAAAGTAGAGAGCAAATGGGAGAAAACTTACAGGTATAACTGATGCAGGAGCATTATACTTCTGTTCGGTGTGGACGTGCGGGCGAGGTGGTGGGGGAACGGCCGTATCGATTGTAGTTTTCTGCTGGGGAACAAAGTTATTTGTTGGAACTAAAATATTCGTTGTTCCTGTGGAGGTTGCATTGCTGCTCAGAGTTGCAAGTCCAACTCCTGATTCCTGCAAACGGTACCGTTTCTGCCTTTCACAATAGGCTCGCCATGTGTCTTCATCAAAACCATAGTTGAAATAATCTGCAACGAAACAATCATAAAATTTCTAACTGAATTGGTTATACAACTAGACCTTCATCATTCACGACACACAATTTCTCTTTGTTGTAGCATTCAGTGTTTGAAAGGAAAGTTTTTAAACTTTCGATAAAAATATACAGACAGCTGGCTCTCAAGATATCACTCTTTAAGTTAATGCTGGGACTGGATAATTTTCTTAGCTTGACAACTATGTAACTTTTAGCTACTGTGATTCCTCAAAAGTTTAAAATAATTTTTTATACCTATCTTGAGTAATCTATAAAAAAAAACAGTGCAAAAATTTGGTCAGCTTTCTCAGAAAAATAAATTGATGAATGGGTGCAAATTAAACAATGTACACAGCAGAGTGATGAATTACCTGTGATATCTGCTCCAGGTTTACGCCAGGGTTTTTCTTCCAGAGTATCTAAATTGTACTCATGTACAGGCACCGAGTTGATAGTTCCTATTTGTTCAAAATCCTCAACAGAAAATTTCCCTGCGGGCTGAAATTGATAATAGGTATGATATAAGGAGGGAGGAAAAAATAATGATGAACATTTTAAGATCAAACTTATGCTGTCATGAAAGATTTGCAATTAAATTACAGTGATCAGCTAGGTTTCTTTAAAAAACGTGCACACACGTCCCTGCAGAGTTTTTTGAGGAATCTAGATAAAGAATACAAGGATTTTTTTATGAACACTTCTCGACTACATAGCAAGAATTCTAAGGGTCTTATCAAAAAATAATTTTTCTACAGAAACCCTTCGGAGAAAATAAAACATACAAAGATAATTTCGATTTCTAGGGATAAGATTCAAAATTCTGAGGTTCAAAGACTTCCAAATTTTTTTAGCAATAGATCCAGTAGTTTCAAAAACCAAATTGAGCAAAGAAAAAAAAGCGAGAAAATTCGAGAAACTTTTCAAGTCGCACTAATTTAGATCAAATTGTAGAGCCAAAAAAGAGTCAGGCTCGAGTTTAGACTTTAGTCAGGCTTGGCATTGAAAATTTTACTGGCTGGTAGTGGATATTGATCAAAACGCAAGCGGGCCAAACATATTTGACAGCTATTTTCTGTTTTTTTAAAACAATTTTCTCTAATTTAACTCATATCCAGTGTAGATTTAAAAGCCGTTGTTCAGTTTAATGGCCTCAAAAAAATTGAAGAAAAAACACAGCCTTGTTATTGAAGTTTACGATCACAAATATGGGACTGCAAAATGAAGCCAGTTAGTAATCCATAAATGCTATTAAACGTCGGCCACCGATTAGATTTAATTAATTAAGCATACTTAGCAGAGAGGGATTTCCTTAGCAAATGCTGCAGCACTTCAGTCCATCTTCATTATAAAATGTGATTTTTTTTTTTTTTGGTAACTGAACTTCAATACGCAAAAATCTCCTTTTTTTCCATGACACTTATTTAGTAAACAAAAGGACAAAGGGAGTGCCACCCTCAGAAGGTTGAGAGCAAGCATTAAAACTCCAAAATGATTGACACAGCAATTAACATACTTCATGTCCATTGTTTCAAATTGGATAAATCGATTGAATTCCATAATTTGTTTATTATGGGCGCCAAGCTAAAGTGTCTTCTAAGCTCCACTCCAAAGGGCTGCAATGCCAAATCTCCTTTAATACAAGGAAAAAGGCACTCTTATTTTTGACAAAGTTGTTTTATATACAGTATAGTCCATAACAGATTATCTAATAAAAAAGACCTTATAAAATCTGACGCGAAATGGATGCAATATCTAAAATGCACATACCTTTGTTTTATCAGCACCTCTGACTGAAGAGACAAGCCCTCCTCTTTTGATATTGAGCGCAGAGTAGGAGGATGGTGCTGTTCGGATGTCTCCAATAACAATATTGATATTATCATCATCGTCGTCATCATCATCATCGTCATCATCATCTTCCTTGCTGTCATCATCACGTTCTCCTTCTTCTTTCTCCTCAACATCACCGTTCGTCTCCGGAAGTGGAGGTTCTGTTTCCCAAGGAACAAAAGAACAGGAGGGTCAGCAGTATTTTGCAGCAGGTTTTTGATTTCTGTGCAGAAAAACAAGCAGCACTACTTATCCGTGCATCACACGGTGTGAGTGTGCATAATTTTTTTTCCCCAACTGGTACAAATTAATTGAAAAGATGTACTTGCAAGGTATTTTGTCAAGAAATTAATGGGGAATAAATACCTGAACCGATATTTTCGAGCAAATATTAAAACAATTTTACAAAACCTTAGGTACTTGATAATATCACATGCTGAGATCGACACACACACTAATTAAAACAGAGAGAGTCTGCTAGACAAGAAATGAGCAAAATGTCTCTGTCAAAGAGGAATAGGATATTTTGATGCAAATTAGGGTGTCTATTAGTACATCATTTAAGATCCTTGCTTTTCCATTAATGTTTCTTTTCTTCTCCTGTACTTCCCTGAAAATGCATCTTCTCAGGGATTTCCTGACATCCTTGCTTTTTGATTGCCTTTTCCTCACTTTTTCTGTACTTGACACTCATTTCGAACTCTGACAAGGACAGATTTTTGCAGAGGTTACAGAATTGTATATTTGGAGAGTGGAAATTTTAGAGGAATAAGCTTATGCAGAACTAAGGAAAATTAACTATGTATGAAAATTGTATACTTCCACAGTTCTTTAGTTAAGTTCATGACAAATATCTCTAATTTCCATGTCTTTCCATGAAAAATCCTACAACTTCTGTATGTCTTTATTGAAATTTTAACATTTGTGCTTTTTCAGGGTAACTATACTTTTTTGGTACAGTCAACACCTGAGTTTGCAACAGTTGTCTAACTGGTGCTACTAGTCCTTAGTTTAGATTACCAGTTGTACTAAATTTAGTAATAGGGAACTGTAATTTTTGGCTTACTTCACACACAACGCATGTGGCATTAGTTTCCCTAAGTAAATAGAAGCTTTTGAGGGATGCCAAAATTGGTAGTTCCACATAGCAAAATGAAGTCCAGTTTCACGTACTTTTTTCCCTCAATATCTGTAGAAACTCATTTCTACTATTTCCGTAAGTTTTGAAAAACTGAAGACCTGATGAACTGGAAGAATATCTGAGATAAAACTATTGAGTGTTAGATACTTACAAAAAAATTACAATGGCAGACATACTAAAGTGTAAGATAAATCTAACTAAATCAACTAAATAACTAACTAAATTAGCTAAATCAAACTAATTCATTCAATATTTTGTGACATATTTTTGTTTAGAATTATTTGTAAAATTTTACCTCGATACTTTTCAATGAAGAACTGTATATCGGACTAATACTACACTTTTCAGACTTGCTTGAGGTCTCTTTAAAATAAAAGACAGAGGTGCTTACCAGATTCTGTAACAGATGCATTCAATTGACCATCCTCTTCTGCTTGATTATCCTTCTCATCACTCACACCAGGGGGAGCAGGAATATCATCCATGCTTTCCTGAAATTACAGAAAGATTACACCCTTGTAAAAGTCTTGGTTACAATTCAAGTAGGCTATTTCCAGCACTATTTCACCACCTTGTTTCTAAGGAAACAGGTATGAAATGCGGAAGACATCTGTTCATCAAAATATGATAATGAATTCCAGAGGTTATTCCATTAATGATCCAATTTTATGTATTAACCTCTCATCTTAAATTACCCTGAACACTTCTACGGTGGATTGCCAATCTCTAATACAATACAAAAAGAAAAAAAGAAAAAGAGAAAAAAAAACCCTAGCCTGTGTTCTGTGTTTTGCTGTTACTATTCGCCTCTGGTTCCAGTGGCAAAATCACTGCTACTGTCTATTACTAATCAGTGGTACCAAATTCACTGGTGGTGGCTTGACCGGTCATTACTTACATCAGAACCAACCAATCATTCAAAGAACTTAATTTAGTGATTAGTAGTACTGCTGATCATTAAAAGGAAACACTTCTAATAGAGCAAATAAAATCTTTCATGTCATTGCTAACAAAACACCTCAAAACGGTGAGTGTCGACTATTATCAACTGTCACCCCAAAAAGACCTCTCATATTCATTCACTTTGAAAGGCTATTTTTTCGGAGACTACTCTACGGAGGAGCCTGTTTTGAGCTGATTTTCTCATGACAGAGGGAAGAAAGACAAGATACTGCAAAGTATCAGTAGAATTCGAGAGATATACAAATGTTCTATCTTGAGTCATAGCGCATATGTCTAAATTGCTGCTAGAACATGAAGAGTTCAAACATAGAATTAATAGACTACGTAAACAGAAGCGAAAGCCTTTTATACGTCATCAAAGCAAAACTGAGTCAATAAGTACTACTTACGTCGGCGGCATGTCGAAGTTTTGGAGAGGCCAATTTATAACGAATACAGACGTTTTCAGAAATTAAAAGAGATTTTTTTTACACTTGTTTACTGTTATACCGGAGAAGTACTGTAGAGTTGCTTAAAATTTTATGTTCCTTTCAAATGTCATAATTCTGGGTTAACCTCAAATCAGGTTTCAATAAGTACGAAGATTGACCGATCCCGGGACGAAAAATGTTAACATTGGTTCTTACAGAGCTTTCGCTTCTGTTGGCGTAGTCTATTTATTCTATGGTTCGAACAAGCTGTGCTATTTTTCAAACAGCGTCAGCAAGAGCCAGAGAGTCAGCAAGAGGCCCACACCAAGTAAGTTCATCCGTTTTTCAAGCAGTAGACCAACTGTCTAGACTCATTAGTTTCCTTCAAATACTGACATGAAAACCGCAGATCTTCTGATGCTAGAAAAGCTGACGAATTTACTTGCTGCATTCTCTGGTTTGACGTTCAGCGTTTCTCATGGTGTTGGACTTGTCAGTCATCAACCTTTTTAGAGCTGTAGCTAAAGTGCGTAAGATGGTATTTACCCGTTCTGATCCTCGCTCAATACCAGGTGGCCCGTCATCGTTTTTATCGGCAAAGTACTGACTGTGTTCTGCGTTGAGTTGCTCGATAGCGGCGCCATTCTCTCCGTACAGCCACGATTCCTCTCCATCGTCTGCCATTCTGACTGAAGTGCAAAACGACGATATTGATCGATATGCAAAGCTTAGACACTATTTTTAAAATTTAAAGACTTCATACGCACATATCAGGCATAAATTAATGGCAATAAGAAACAAAATACTTGTACATCACTCGAAGACTCGAGACTCGAGACTTTTTGTTGTTATTATTTATTCCTTCTCTTCCAATTATTCCTCTTTTCGAACAAAAGAAATCTTAACCGCAAATTCTGAACCAGACGCTCTGATTGGTCCAAACCGGTTCATTCCATCTATTCCGAGTTGAACCAAAATGAGCGGGAGTTTCAAATAATTCCGGATATCCTGTTTACATACCAAATCGTTTCCGTTTCCGGTTAAACAGTGTTGTCAGCTTGCCTAACGATTGACTATATCATTTCCGTTTCCGGTTAAACAGCGTTGTCAACTTGCCCAAGACCCACTGACTGTCTCTTTCCTCAATGGTCACGTGCTGCCTCCTATCGGTATTATCCAAGATCCATCCATATAGGTCAGTCATTCCCGAAACCCAAACGAGAATCTTCTGCGCATGACGTCAGCATTACTGCCGCGAAAACCAGAAATGTCGGAAACAATGCTTTTCTTATGGGAGAGAACAAATTTTTCTTAATGAATCATTAAAATTTCTTACTTTTAAATTCTTTGAAGCTTTCTGAGTGTCGAAAGGAACGTTTAGAAATTAGCGTCAAGGGTTTCAATTCAGCTGAATTTGCGTTTTTATATTTTTAAATGATTTTTGAAGTCAGCGATGTAACAAGCCATCTAGTGGTATAGATTCGCGTGTAAAAATGGCTGATGCAGAGTAAACTGTAAAAATGAAAGAACACAAATTCGGCAAAATCGAAACCCTGAATGCTAATGTCTAAACGTTCTTTTCGACACAGAAAGTTTCAAAGGATTTAAAAGTAAGAAATTTAAATGATTCATTAAGAAAAATTTGCTCTCTCCCATAAGAAAAGCATTGTTTCCGACTTTTCTGGTTTTCGCGGCAGTAATGCTGACGTCACGAGCCAATGGAAAGGAGCTTACCCCGAGCGGGGAAATCTGCGCAATGACTGACCTATATGGATGGATCTTGGGTATTATCCGTCGAAATGAAAAGTTTGGAGTGCTCGATTTTGTGCAGGTTTTTTGAATTGATGGTGATGCGTATCCGACGCCGCGAAGTGCAATTTTCGCAGGCGACTTGTTTTCTGAAAGCTTTTAAATTGTTGTAATCTTATTTTTTATAATTATCTCGTAACTTCAGTTGTTGAAATGCTTGTACAGTGATTACACGGGAATAAACTAGCAAATCACATTAGCTCATGAACCTCCAAGGTTTATTCCTCTTTTGAAGATTTGTTGCCACTTTCAATTGTTGGAAATCTGGAACAATTAGATGAAACACACTATTACCGCTTGAATCGTAAAGGTTTTTTTTTTATTTTTATTTATTATTATTACTTATATGATTATTTTCTTTTTTCTTTCCCTCTTTAGATGAACTTCAAGAGATTGGAGCTTAAATTCTTTACGAACACCAGTAGAATCTTTGAACGATTTTGATGCTTGATTCTTGTATTAGATTAGCGCAAAATATATTAAGATCTGTACAAATTGCAACTGTCTACGTTCATTATTAACCGATATATCGCCCTTTGAAAAGTCGGGATGTTGACGTCATCCACCGCGGTAGTGACAAGTGACATAGTGACACCCTTGGTTCCTTCCACCTTGGTTTCATCCAAGTTTTACGTTGAGTAACCAGTGTGTCACTGACCGATAAAAGCAAGGTGGAAGAACAATTTTATTATTTTTAGCTAATCTGCAAGGCTCGAGCATCAAAACACGATTCTCTGACCAGCGCAACTGACCCATTCAACACGCCTTTGCAAGATCGCTGCAGATTCGTCAATTCTCAACCAAATGAGCTCAACTTGGTCTTGTTCTAAAGCTAATGAGTTTTCTAGAACCTCTCCCAAACTGCATGTCGATATCTCTTACATTTCTCGGGTCGAAACTCAATGGACAGTTGTTTTGGGACAGTCTAATAATTGAAGCGAACTGACTGGTGTTGAACTCCCCTCTTCTCGTCAGGTGGAAATCCATGTTTTGTCTATGAGAATATGAGATGAGTAAGCGTGGTATTTCACGGTGATACCACCATTCAACCACGAAAGAGCTCGCGTTGCCTACACCAAAAATTGTACACGAACTGTCAATGCATTAGAATCACCTCTGCGTGTTTGGTAAAAGAATACACTTTGTTAGTTTATTCTAAATGAGGGTGAATTTTACGATGATACCTCTATTTGAGCACTTGGGAGCCCGTTTTGCCTACACAAATAATTGAAGGCGAATTGACGCGCCGTTAAAGTTCCCTCTCCCAGTTTGGCAAAAAGCTATTTTTTGTGTGTGTTCCAAGCATAGTGATACCGCCAAACTCTCATACGATGTATTCGTTTGAATCAAAAATAAAATATAAAATTCACTTTCATTGAAATTTTGCGCTTGATCTACTTGTGTGAGACTGGCATGAAGTTTTTTTTTTTAAGAAAAAGATATTTTTCAAACCTGTGTGGTATTTTCTTCAATGAAGGATGAGTTCTTTGCCAATTCAAAGAGAAAAATACCAAACCTCCAAGCCGTCCGTCGTAACAGATAACAAATGTGTCTCTTTCAAGAAGAGGGGTTCCTGGCTTATTATGAGATGATTGGAGATCCCTTAATTATACCTTTGAAGACTTGGAACGGAAGGTGTAGGATGAATATGTTTCAATTTTTCACGTCTTATGTTTCCTTGAATGCCAAAGAAAATCAAAGTATGAGTAGACAAATGGAAGTGCACTAGCCAAGATCATTAGCCTCACGTAAAAAACCATGGCTGAGACGAACACTGTACAAAACTACAAATCCTGCGAACACTTTTAAAGAATACTACATACATAGGTATGAAACTAGCATGAAAATTTTCAAAATTACTCCCTCGTGGTTACAATAAAATTAAATTGATGAGGAAACGATGGTTTTCTTTCGTCTCAGTTTTAAAAAATACTGCGGAGATTCAACTGTAAATGGCAAGAGTGGAAAAGTTACTAAATTTTGATGTTTTGAGTAGCCTCATTGTAACAAGATTGAATGTTCTGAAACTGCGGCCACATTTCATAAGAATGACCTTTTTTTTCTTCTCTTGAGAAAAGCAGGAATATGAATACCAAGTACATTCAGTAGATTTAAATGGCCGATAAGTAAATGAAACAGATGGACAAGGCAATATTACTTCATTCCAGTCACTAACTGATACTAAATTATAATTAGCCTCCGTTAGCTCTTATGCGCTTAGGTAGTTAGGTTTTCTTTATCGAAAATTGTTTGAATTTTTGGGTAAAACTCAGCGTTTTATTGGAAAACAGTTGCATTTATTGGATCAATTCAGAGGCGGAGCTCCCATGCCGTTCCTTCGAAGACACCTCACTCCTTACACGAAAGTCAAAGGGAACATTGAATGAATTTGTGACCTATTGTGCAAACAGTTATGAGAGTCAAATTTGATTTTTTCGCTAAAACCATATTTCATATTCAAGACGTACTTCTGAGAGTAATTTTTATACTATATAATATATATAGCGATAAGGCGATAGGCGATAAGGCTATATAATATATATAGCGATATAGCGAATATATAATAGGAGGATATAGCAATGCGAATTCTCTAAAATATAATGTGCGTCTCTAGTGGGGATAACTAAGCGCTACGAAAGGATATCACACCCTGGTAAAAATTGGCAGTAGAATCTGTGTTTCAAAATACCATAGACCTATACAGCCGACTGTAAGATTTCCAATAGCTTCTATAGCCGGCAACACAATTTCTTATAGCCTTTTATAGCCGATGGCGATTAAGCAACAGCCTGGCGATAAAGTGTATGCTAAACGTTACTAATAACGGATGCTAGGACTTAGTGAGTTTTTGGACTACCGCTCTCCTTTTGGGCCGTAGTATCTTGATATATTTTGCGAGGAAAGCTCCGTACTTTTGAAGGATGTCTGCCATTCCTAATATGTTGCAGCGCCTTCAATTTCGTATGATACTGTGCAATACCTCTGGTGTGAAATAGTTCAAGCGTCGTGGTACGCTGCGGCGCGGCGCGGCGGGCGGGCAGAGAGCGCGGTACGCGCATTGGCGCCTACAAACCTAACAGGGATACTTCACGCATTGCGCAGTGCGTGAAGTATCCCTGTTAGGTTTGTAGGCGCCAGTGCGTCGCCGCTCCGCTTTGTGTTAGGATCTAATATTTAATCTCGCGGAGTCAGTTTTCAACTTATGATTCTGAAATGTTTGCACACTCTGTATGGATTATTCTCATTTTAATTGATGAAAAAAAAATGTGTTTTAAAGGAAAATATAATGTGCGTTTCGTAAATATCATGGTGATTCCGTACAAACTTAAGGATTTACAAATCACACGAATTTCTACACAATTTCTTATAGCCTTTTATAGCCGATGGCGAAAAAGCAACAGCCCGGCGACAGGAATTATAGCCCGGCTGTTTAATTTTTTATCGCTTCGTGTAGCCCGACCGTATAATTTTTTCCACTTTCTACAGCCAGCTATAAGATTTTCTATCGCCTTCTTCAGTCGGCTATAAGAACTCCTACCTATGGTATTTTGAAACGCAGCTCCTATCGCCAATTTTTACCAGGGCTGCTTTCACGTGATCAAATCTTCTTGGTCAAAATTGTGATTAGCTCATTCAATGACTTGGGCCAATCACAGCACTTGAACTTGATATATTGATGGCACAATTTGATCGTGTGACATAAGCTCAAGAAGGCAGATGTTGGTTCATAAACTCTGTGTCCAGGGAGTCAGGGACGCCAATGATGGACACCGGAACAACAACCGACCTTCATTCGGCTGTAGATATCTCGATTCGCTGCAGTTCTTACTCCTTCNGGGGGGGGGGGGGGGGTGTCAATAGGTCCATTCATCCATTTGACACCTGATGAGAATAAATCATCGCCTATACAACCGCAAGAAAATGCATGGTTTAACGAGTAAAGCTTCCAAGTGCGACAGTCAGCAAAACACTCATTTGTAATGTACTAGGTTACGCGACTTGCCAAAAAGTTGAAAGCCCAGGCCGAGTCACATTGAAGCCACTGTTCCACAGGTCGTGGGCGACGTGAAAACAGTCGCGCGAAGTGAACCGCGCGACAGACTTGTGCACTGCCGTGCTTAGGAAAAACGCCGTATGAACCTCCAGGCGTAGCCAAGTTTCCTTTGATAAAACACGAATTTTCTGGTAAACTTATGAATATTTTCTTTCCAATTTTTCAGCTACTCTTGCTCTCAATTTCACCCAAAGTTTTTGAACATTTTAAGGAAAAATATTCATAACTTTCCTAAAAAATGAACATTTTATCGAAGGAAATTTGGCAACTCTCGGATGTTCATACGGCGTTCTTCCTTTGCACGGCAGTGCGACAGCATGCGATGATTTCAAATTAACCTGCCAATCGCCACCGAAGAGGAGACTGCCAACTTCCGTGGCAACGGACAGACAAGTTCAAGAATCATCGCAGCCAGTCCGCGGTACACTTCGCGCCGCCCGCGATCTGTGGAGCCGCAGCTTCACCTCTCAGGGAGAGGGTTCACTCCCATTCAGCTCACAAAAGCTACATTCCGGCGGCGCAGAAGAATGCGGGTCGAAACGCAACAAGTGGGTTGAGGTCTCCAAACTCAATCGTATTATCGGAGGAACGGGAGAGGGGAAGGAGGAGCCACCCGCCCTCCCCCCTCGATGACTGCCCCGTCCCCGTCCCGCGAGAGATTCGACTCAATGGGGAAACTTAAAGACCAACGTTTTCATCTTCATCATTTATTGGCTTTCATCGCGGGAAATATGCTCATTTTCGTTTTTGTTGACTTTTCGCCGCACTTCGCTCTCTGTTTTTACCGCGCCCTGCGACCGTCGACCGCGCCGCGCGAGTGTTGTACGCTTCCCAGTGAGTGACGCGCCTTCGGTCCGTTGGATAGGCAAAGAGTATCTCCTGCATGTTGGTATGGTTGCCTAATCGAGGAGTTGTCAGGCGTCTAGCGATCAGCCCAGTTGTCAAATCGCGCACGAAAAATCGGGAAAATCTGGCCACTGCGACACAATCTCTCGGCACGCGCAAGTAAATCCTACTCATTGTGTGATTTTTGCTCCGTTCTGTGCTGATTTTTGGCGAACGATGTATAGGAAGACAATGATTGGTTGTGTGAGGTAATTTTGTGATTTACTTAAATATTAGAACAAAACGGAAAAATCACGTGGTAAATGCGATGCACCCGCGCGCACCAAGGGGTTGTCTCGCATTGGCCAGATTTCCCCGATTTTTAGGATGCGATCTGACGACCGGGCTAGTCGCCCTTTAGAGCCTTGGGTCTTCCAGTCAGATGACGACTACGATAAAATGTCATAGGTAATTCTTAGGATTGCCAAGTTATTTTAGCCATAATATCGCATCGCGCAGTAGTTTTATGGATTAATCTGCACGGGTAAAAATCCTTGCTAAAAGCAGGGCCGGATTTAAGGGGTGGCGAATTTTGCGATTTTTACAACTGTAGGTGTCCCCCCCCCCCAAAAAAAAAAGCCGGATTCAGAGAAAAAATTAGAAACGAGAAAAGGCGACAAAATCCCTCATTTCCTGAGAGTAAAAATATAGTAATTTCTTATTTTGTGATTTGCGTCTTTTCATGATACAGCAACTTTAATTATTCAAGTTAAGAGAGAAACCAAACACGCAATTTGCAATGATTACGAGGACTTGAGATGAAAAGGAAAAGCCCTGGGCGCGGCAGCCGGCGCGCATCGGCATAAAACATATTAACGCCTACAAGACTCAATGAATACTTCACGCATTGCGTCAAACACAGTTGCGGTCGGCGATCGGTATGGAACACATATTAGCGCCTACAAGACTGTGTGAATACTTCACACATTGCGCCAATAACAGTGCGGTCGGCGCACAGAGGATCGAGTCAATTTAAGTGGTCGGAAATGGAATTTTTGACTGAAACAGGAAATCTTGATGTTTATACCGTCACCTTTTAAAATTGAAGGGGTGTTACTGAGGGAGTATTTAAGAGGGAACCAATAGAACAACTTTTAAAACCTCAAATTTCTGTAGGAAAGGAGTTTTAAGCTTTTAACGTTTCCAAGTTGTGTCCAACCTCTCACATTGGCTCGATCCACTGTGCGGCGCGGTGACGGATGCTAAAATTATTAAACCACATTTATATTTGTTCTTTCATTTAAAAGTCGTAGGCGGCAGCTCGACGTTCGCTGTTCAAACCTTCATAACTTTTTCTCTTTTCAACCGAATGAGTTGATATTGGTCTCATTAGAAAGTCTTGTCTCTCAGAAAAGACCAAAAAAAAAAGCTTCTACCTATCTTACTTTTGAAGTTATAGCATTTTCCCCACTAATTTTTGAAAAGTCAATCGACGACGGTGAAATTCCAAAACTACGTAGCGCGGTTAGCGATGTTGCAGACTTCCTGTCATATTTGATCTTTGAAATAGGCAACTACCTAGCGTTAATTTTTAAAGAATCTTGTGATTTCCGCTCTCCGTGCGGAACAAATTCTGAAAAATTAAAGATATTATGTCGATGTCTCCCTCTGTAAAGAAATAAATTAGGAACGGAGATTTTTAAACACTGCAAACGAGATACGTGCTTTGGAGTTTCACCGTCGTTATAGAATGTTAACTTGCAGCCCCTATCCTATCTCTGATCTGAAGACGACAAATGTTGCGAAGTCGTTTCATGGTCACCTCAGGAAAAATTCAAGCGTGGTGCATTTGGCGCGTATACGTAGTATACCGCCTTTGCGATCGTTTCGACCCCCCCCTCGATACAATAACCGAGTCCCCTAGTTCCTTACCGAAAAGTGACTACCGCGAACTTCTGAGATTTTCCAAAGCGTGTAAAAAGTTTACTAATCCGTCAATAATAATGATTAAAATTTGTTTCTCATTCTGGGGCTCGCTAGTTTATGTGTAATGAATACCAAGAGTCTACGTTTCTTGGTTTTTTTTA